TGAAGATCACGTAAAGTGTTAATACCACTTTACAATGCCTTGGTAAGGCCACACTTGGAATATTGCATCCAGTTTTGGTTACCACAATGTAAAAAAGATGTTGAGACTCTAGAAAGAGTACAGAGAAGAGCAACAAAGATGGTTAGGGGACTGGAGACTAAAACATATAAGAACGGTTGCTGGAATTGGGTATGTCTAGTTTAATGAAGAGAAGGACAACAGGTGACATGATAGCAGTGTTCCAATATCTCAAGGGTTGCCACAAAGAAGAGGGAATCAAGCTATTCTCCAAAGCACCTGAAGGCAGGACAAGAAGCAAAGGATGGAAACTAACCAAAGAGAGAAGCAAGATGCTGAAAGCACGGAATTTGACTTTTAAATCTGGCAATATGCTGGCACTTAGAACAGCCAGAGCTAATTTGAAAAGTGCCACAAAAGGTGGAAAGCAAGCCCATTGCCAGAAAATTCAGAACTTTTTTCAGGATCCAACAAACACGAGACGCATGTGCTAAGGAATCCAGGCCATTACGGATTATACAGTAGGTCCATCGAGATGCAAGGATGACACAGACTTCCTAAATGAGATGAATACCATTTTTTGGAAGATTTGAGGCATCAAATAGCACTCCTGCTAGGAAAGCTGTCCCATCCTGACGAGCAAGTGCTTAGCTTTGATGTCACCTTTGTCTGGAAAACACTATGGAAAGTTAACATTCAGAAGGCAGCTGCCCAGATAATATTCCTGGCATTCACAGATATTTTCAACCTCTCCTTGCAGCAGGAAGTGGTCCCATCGTGTTTTAAGATGGCGATCATTTTTCCAGGGCCAAAAAAGTCCACAATTACAGGCCTCAATGATTACTGTCCAATTGCACTGACATCTGTCATTATGAAATGCTTTGAGAAGCTGATAAAGGACATTATTGTATCTAGTCTCCTGTCAGCATTTGACTTGCTTCAGTTTGTTTACTGACCAAATTGCTCTACAGAGGATGCTGTTTCTTCTGTTCTCCATCTGAGCTTGGAGCACATAGAGGAAAGAAATACTCATGTGTGTTTGTTGTTTGTTGACTTCAGTTCAGCATTTAACACAATCATTCCCCAGCATCTAGTAGACAAACTGGGCCCTTTAGGCTTAAACATTCCTTTGTGCAACTGGATTCTTGATTTTCATACTAACAGAGTATGTTAGTAGAGCCGAGGTGGTGCAGCAGTTAGAGTGCAGTACTGCAGGCCACTTTACCTGACTATGTTCAGCAGGTCAGCGATTCAAATCTCACCAACTCAAGGTTGACTCAGCCTTCCATCCTTCCGGGGTAGATAAAATGAGGACCCAGATTGTTGGGGGCAATGTAAATATATATATACATTGCTTACTGGTGTACACCGCTTAGAGAGTGCTTGCACTTGAAGCAGTATATAAGTCTCATAAATAAAATAAAATAAATAAAATAAACAGGCCCCAGTATGTGCGAGTTGGAACAAATATTTCTAACACCATTTTCTTGAGAACAGGTTCTCCTCAGAACTGCGTCCTAAGTCTGCTGCTGTTCACCCTGTTGACCCATGACTGTTGTGCTAGGTTTGCCACCAACCATATTATTAAGTTTGTGGATGATACAACAGTAGTGGGCCTTATTCAAGATGACAGTGAGGATGCTTACCACAAGCAGGTTGAGGGTTTGGTGAACTGGTGTAAGGAAAACAGCCTACTTTTAATCATTGGAAGAACCAAAGAGATCATTGTCGATTTCAGAAAAGGCAGACACAGCCACACTCCTCTGTGCATTAATGATTCACTTGTGGAGATGGTCACCAGCATCAAATTCCTGGGTGTGCAGTTAACAAGTAGGCTGGCTTGGTTGCTCAACAGTGAGACACTGGTGAAGCGGGCACAGCAGCGCTTGCATCTTCTGTGTCACATGAAAAAAGCACATCTTCCTTCCTCTGTCCTTACCACTTTCTACAGAGGGATGATCGAGAGCATCCTGTCATATAGGATGGATGGATACATTATTTTATAAATAAGCTATCAAAAATGTACAAAGACATTTCAAATATTTGTTGGAAATGTAATCAAACTGATGGTATATTTTCTAATCTCTGGTGCACATGCAAGGCTAGAAAATATTGGGGTTAAACATGCGTTCTGATTCAGAAAATTTTAAAAGTGAATGTAGAACTGAAACCAGAGATTTTTCTTTTTCAGTTTAATGGACAAACAAATAGAAACATTTTATGGAATTTGCTTTTATATGTGATAACTAGACTTCCACATGCACAAAGATAGAAGAATTTATTAATCCTTTACTAATACCCACAATAGAGGAATGGATGATGAAACTGATGGATTTGGTGGAGATGGTGAAATTGACAGCTTTGATTAAAGAAAAGACTAATTTTATTTCTCCTTAGAAACCACTTTTGGATTTTGAAATTGAAATAAATAAAATATTGATTTTAGGATTTGATGTTTTAAATTATATGGGATAATAGAAATAATGTTAACCTTAGAGTAAGAGTTTGGTTTTTTTAAAATTCATATCTGTTGTAGAGAAGGTCGAAAGTCACTATTTTTCTTACTTTTTCTTTTGCTTTTTTCACACTTCTCTCTTCTTTATTTATTCTTTTTCTTTTTTTTGGTCTGTTTATCCTTGTGTTTTTGAAACTCAATAAAGTTATAAAAATAAACTAAAATGCAGAAATTCAGTAAAATTAAGATGAACCCAAGTGTGTAAAATAAAATTTTGTCTACAATAGAAATCCAATTGGTTTCTGTATGAAACAGTAAAGGTATTGCAGTGAAATAACTGCAATAATGGGTTTGTCAAAAACAGATCATGTCAGACAAATCTTATTGCATTCTTTGACCAAGTGACAAAATTAGTGGACCAGAGGAATGCTGTGGATATAATTTACTTAGACTTCAGTAAGGCATTTGACAAAGTAGACCACAACCTACTACTTGATAAGATAGAAAAATGCAGGTTAGACAGCATCACCACCAGATGGATCCGTAGCTGGCTGATCAGCCATACTCAGCGTGTGGTCCTCAATGGAAGCGCATCGACATGGAGGGAAGTGTGTAGTGGGGTGCCCCAGGGCTCTGTTCTGGGCTCAGTGCTCTTCAACATCTTCATCAATGATCTGGACGAGGGGATAGATGGGGAACTCATCAAATTTGCAGACGACACCAAGCTGGCAGGAATAGCCAAAACTCCAGAAGACAGGCTTAAGATACAGAAGGATCTGGACAGACTTGAACACTGGGCACTAACTAACAAAATGAAATTCAATGGTGAAAAAAGCAAGGTTCTACATTTAGGCAAGAAAAACGAAATGCACAAGTACAGCATAGGTGGCACCATGCTCAATAGTAGTAACTGTGAGAGGGACCTCGGAGTCCTAGTAGACAATCACTTAAATATGAGCCAGCAGTGTGCTGCAGCTGCCAAAAAGGCCAACACGGTGCTAGGCTGCATTAACAGAGGGATAGAATCAAGATCACGTGAAGTATTAATACCACTTTACAATACCTTGGTAAGGCGACACTTGGAATACTGCATCCAGTTTTGGTCACCACAATGTAAAAAAGATGTTGAGATTCTAGAAAGAGTACAAAAAAGAGCAACAAAGATGATTAGGGGACTGGAGGCTAAAACATATAAGGAACGGTTGCTGGAATTGGGTATGTCTATTTAACGAAGAGAAGGACGAGGGGGGACATGATAGCTGTGTTCCAATATCTCAGGGGCTTCCACAAAGAAGAGGGAGTCAAGCTATTTTACAAAGCGCCTGAAGGCAGGACAAGAAGCAACGGGTGGAAACTAACCAAAGAGAGAAGCAACCTAGAACTAAGGAGAAACTTCCTGACAGTTAGAACAATTAACCAGTGGAACAACCTGCCTCCAGAAACAGTGAATGCTCCAACACTAGAAGTTTTTAAGAAGAAACTGGACAGCCATTTGTCCAAAATGGTATAGGGTTTCCTGCCTGAGCAGGGGGTTGGACTAGATGACCTCCAAGGTCCCTTCCAACTTTATCATTATTATTATTATTATTATTATTATTATTATTATTATTATTATTATTATTAAATGACTAAATAAATATTCCTTAGGATAGGAGCTCCCCCTCGTAGCCACAAGTATAATAAGTTCAGAAAGTTGGATTCTGCAAAACAATCTACTGTAGAACAGTTCAAACTGCCAGCTCACGGGCCGGATGCGTCACCAGGAAACCACGCCCACCCCATTGCTGGCAATGGAGAAAAAGCTCCAATATGTCACACGTTGTCATGTGACGTCACAAGTTTTACATGTCTGATTTAGAATGAATAATATCCACAGAAGTAAAACATGGAGTTAAATATTGTTAATATGTAATCTAAGTAAATATAAGATACAATAAAATAACTAATGAAACATGTAAAATAATTTTATATTCAATCTTCACCAAGTTAGATATAGTCAAATATTTCTATAATTATTTAAGGCAGGAAAAGAAAATAACTACAGCTATGCTAGTTAGACCAAACCTTTTTTTAGCCGGTCTCAGTTTCTCATTTGGATTTCCCACATGAATGCAACTAAAAGAGCAGAGCATTGATTAGAAACAATTATTGATTCCCATACAATAATTTCTAAATATATTGCCATAAAACATAGCAATAGAGATTAATTTGATAACTTTTTAAATACATGTAAATGATAGATTAATTATTTTATTCATCACAATAGGCAATGTGCATAATCCAATGATAGACAGTAGAAAGTTTATTATATAAAGATTTTCTGTGAGGAAGGTGTGTGGTTAAGACTTTTAATAATAGATAAATAAATAAATCTAGTAGCCATCCTTTGCTGAAATGTTGAGCTGAAATAAAGATCTTTTGATAAATATGGACTTGGAAGCTAATTTGCAGGATTTATGTTGATAAAGTTTTAGATTCATTATTTTTTCAGAAATTACATAAAAATATTTGATTATTTTCTCATTAGGAAATAGAAGAACTTGTAGCCAAACTTCACAAAGATGCGTTAGTTGTAGAGCAAGTTCGAACTTTGGTTAAAAAGGATGAAGAAACTATGGTTGCAGAAACTAAAATTGTGGAAGGGTATGCTAAGGTACATAGTTTTCAAAGTTTCTTCTTTGGATTACATCATACGAAGTATGCCAACTATTCCAATCAAATATAATTTGATAGGGCCACTATGTCTGGACTGCAAAAATCTGGAGACTCTCCACGTGGCAGCAAGAGATTAATTTTTGCTATAAAAAAGGCTTATATTTGTATTAAAGAATTTTATATACAAAAATAGTATTTGTACATGTATGTCCTGTGAATAAAAAAATGAAACTCTACCCTTTCTTCATTTTTGTAGCAAGTAACAGAAGAGCTCAATACTGTATTACCATCTTTGGAGAAGGCCCTTAGTGCTCTTGATGCACTTGACAAAAATCACATTGCAGAAGTTAGGTAAATATATCACTTATTTCCAAGGATTTCTAAGCTGAGGATTTCTTGCAATCAAAATACATTAATTCAGTGAACATAATATTCATTAGTCATATTCAGTTTGAATTGTTGTATCCTGATTCTTGCTAAAGTAAGAAACTATTAGCAAAAATATTGGATACTGTCAAAGCAATAGATTCCCTAAAAATCGGTCATCTCAATAGAAGACTGCTCTTGGAGTATTTCACATTATTTCTCATTTGTATATTAAATTGCAATGTCCAAGGTCAGAAATATGCATTACATTCCTTGGGCAGTCTAGCAGTGTTACGTATTTTCATGTTGATCACTAAAATTATTGTATCTAAATTACTGAATGTAAATCAGGTTGCTTTGGCAAAAAAAATTACTTTGAATATAATATATTTTGTGCTCTTTTTCTGTATAATTCAGAGTATATACTCATCCTCCTCTACTTGTTTTAACTGTTATGAATGCAGTCTGTATTCTTCTTCAAAAGAAACCAAATTGGGCAACAGCAAAATTACTACTTTCAGATCCAGGATTCCTTAAAACATTGATTACAATTGACAAAGATAATTTACCAGAAAAGGTAAATGAAGAATTCATTTGCAAGGAGATTCAATGTTTTTCTGCTGTTGTATACATAAATCTTCAAATAAGAGATTTTAAAAATGAAACACATTTCCTGGGGTCTGGATTGGGGTTTCATTGCACCAGAGTCCAACTATTTTTTCCATATCAGGCTGTAAGATATCTTCTGAATGTAACAGATGAGAATTATACATTGTAGTCAAATTTCCTCTAATTCTGCATTTATCTCTCATAGCCTTATTTATCTTTTGAAAAACATCTCCTCGTCCATTAACATTGCTTTTGGCTGTGTTATTCATCAGAGGACAGCTGTTTTTCATTTCCATCATGTAGAGATCCAGTTGGTGGGAGTTTGAGACAAAGGCCTTAGTGGTAGAGTTCTATCTGGAAATAGATAGTACATATTTGTATACATATAATTCATATCTAATGAACTATCTCTGATAGCTTTTAAATGGATAGTAAAATATTTCATTTTGATTAATTAAAATATTGAAAAATAAAGCAATATTTTGTTTTTGTGACTTTAATCTTTATTGAAATATTATTCATAGTCTTTTTTTGCTTCTATTCCCTTTTTTGTTGTTGTTTGGAGATATATTATTTTCTTTTATGTTATACAATTTATAATTTCCTTTTCTTAATAAATTCAGTGCGATGGAATTATTTTTTAAAAAAACAAATAAATATTAGTTATTGATTGAAGATATGGAAGAATTTTATATTTATTTGTTACACATGCCATTTTATTAATTATTTATTTATAATTAATTATTTTGTATTCATTTTAGGTTTTTCTGCAGTTAAAAAAATATGTGAGGTCGCCTGATTTCAATCCAGTGAAAGTGGGACTTGTGTCTGTTGCATGTTGCTCCATATGCCAGTGGATTTTAGCTCTGGATCACTATCACATTGTTAAAAGGGTATATTTACATAGGTTATTTCCAATAGTTTTTAAAACGATCTGTCATATCTGACAGATTGTATTTATAAGGGAAAAAGATTCTACCTAATTCTGGAATATGTTACTAATTTCTGCAAAGGCATTTTATTCAAAATTGTCAGAGGTAAAATAACTTCAATAGTCTTTTTATTTTCCATTTACTTTTCTGCTATTTTAATTTTCTACCATAAAACAAATGTAGGAATGTACCTGGATTCAAATAGCTTAGTGAAGAAAGGCCTGGAAGCAGACCTGAAATATAGAGCAATCCTAATTTAATATTTTATTAACCAACTAATTTAATTGTTTTTTCTTATAGTCTCCATTTCTGATCACCAAAAGATAGTTTAAAGTAACCTTCTACTCTCTAGAAGATTGACCTGACAAGAAATGGGTTAACGTATCTCTTCATTAAGAATATAGTATTAAACACAACTTTTCTTCTATCCCAAGAGATTCAAACATGTCAGTCTCAAAACTTGGTTTCAGTTGTGTAGTTACTGCAACTATTAAAAGTGTTGAGTTGTTAATATCAATACAGGTAGTCCTTGATTTATGACCATAATTAAGCCCAGAATTATAATTGTAAGTCAAAAGTAAACATTGGAAAACTGGCAAAATATGTTATGAATCATGGTCATGTGACTGCAGGATGCTGCAAACAATTGTAAAGGTGAGTTGGTTGTCAAGCACCCAAAATGCAATCACATGACCGTGTTGTGTATGTGTGACTGTTGTAACTTCAAAATCAGATCATTAATACTTTTTGCAAGTTTGTCATAACTTCAAACAGTCGCTGACTGGTTGTAAGTTAAGGACTCCCTGTATGTTCTTCTCTTCCACAGGGATCCTTGTGGAAAAGTGATCTCTGGCATCACTTCAAGATTGCAGAGAAGGCAGAACAGATAGTGATTCAAGAATTGATCTTGATACCTCCCTTAAAATAATTATATGGAATCTCTTCTTGGAATTTTCCATCTCCTGTCTGGATTTCTTCCCCCTAGTTTTCAAGGGCATTTTCCCTTTGCTTTTATCATGTCCCTGCAGGATTGTTATGAGGAGGATTGCAGGAGGAAAATAGAAAGAAAGGTTATGGAAGAGTTTCCAAGACTGAGAGGTCATTTTACCCTCAAAAAACCCCCCAAACCTCAATCTCTTCCTTTTTGAAGCTCAACCGTAAAGAGTACCTACCTACCAGCTTGCCATTCCAAGGTCATTTCTAGAGCAATCCTCATCCTTTAAAAATTCCTTATAGATTTTCCTAAGTTTAAGGGAGGAAAACTGGTCTATCCTTCCTAACCTATTGGGACCTAGATATAGAGAATATACTCAGATGATATGAGTAGTATAGAAATTTGATAAATAAATGAATAGAAGATTACCTTAAAGGATCAAGGGAAGTTTTATTAGCAAGGCAATAATCAGATAAACTATACAAGAGGAAGGGGATTACATTCAGACTTGCAAAATTCTGTTACCATAGCTATTCTAATAAATAGCTTTAGGTTTACACAATGTCTGTTTCTTAGTTTTGTCTATCTTCTAGGACTGACAGTAGGTTATAAAAGTCTTTCCTCTGGGGCATGTTGTAAATGAAGTAAAACTTCATATTTGTGGGAAGGGAGAAAGATTTCTGAAATAGGACAGCTTCACTTTTGGCCCCTAGTCCATAATCAAAGATGACATGGATTGTTCTGAATTAGTCTTGGCTCCCATGTCCAATAGGAATAGTTGAGCATTGGTCAGATGAAACCACTTTGGATGCTCTGTGCGGATGAGTAAAACCTAGACAGACTTTTAATATCATTCACATTCTTCTGATTCAGAAAAATCAGAATATTGCTACACAGAGATGAGAAACACTCATTATATTATGAGCAATGTGAAACAATTAGGATTCCTACCACATGACAGATGATATACATTTGCTATTCAAAGCCACCCCAAAACGTGTGCTTTTACTAAGACTCATGAATAGTGAAATCCTGTGCCAGAAATTGTATTAACACATTATAATTATATTACAAATTTGCAGAGAAATATAAACAGCCAAATTACAATTGATGTTCAGCACAGAACTGTCACAGAGAGTTACGATTTTTGATCAATTTGCTCATTTGTCATATCATTGGATTGTGAATTTCTCCAGGGTGCATCACTAGCTAATGGTCCAGACAGGGGAACACACAATGTAAAGATTTCACAATATAAATAAGCATGGTAGAAAATTAAAATGAACACTGGAAAAAAGTTCTCATAGAGATGCTGCTTTCAATAAAATCCCTCAAGTGCAGTCAGTAATATCAATATAATGATTATTTGTCATATATAAATAAATGTATCTATATCAAGACATTTGTGATATATATTTCACCTTTCTCTAAAGTATTAACTCTATCAATTTCATATTGAATTGTAAATATATCTTTTTTTTTTAGTTTGTAGATCCAAAACAAGCAAAGGTAGCAGAAGCAGAGGAATTACTGAATCGTGCATTTAGTAAATTAGCTGAAAAGCAAAGAAGTTTAGCCCTGGTAAAATAGATGTGTTTATCAAATGCCATCATATTTACATAATTTGTTAAATAATAGAAAATGTATATCCATCTAAGTGATCTATATTATTTTAATATAAATATTTCCTTTGCTGGACATAAAGTCATCTTCATTAGCTGGAATAATATATTATCTCTCAGGGTTTATGTATTGAATATTTTTTTTATTGAAAAGTTTTAAACAAGTTTTTAACAATATCCCCCCCTAAAGTAACCCCCTCCCTCCCTCCCCCCCTCACTTCCCAGAGCTGGTTACAGAGTTACAAATAAACAAACAAATTCTAAATAAACTTATCCAACTATACAAATAATAAAATCAATAATGTACTTTAACTCGAATACAAATTTAAGCAAATAAAATATGTAAAAAAACCAAAAACAAAAAAACAAAAATAACAATATAAGCAATTCCAAATTAAAAAACTAAAAAATTATTCATAATCTAAATAATACATTTTAATCCCATATCAACTCTATTTACTCTACATGTAATTTATCCATCTTCTCCATGCTGAAGTGTATATTTCTTTTAAACAACATAATAAACACAAAATTTTCCTTCCAATATAACCCAACCAACAAACTTACATTCGATAAACTTGGCTATTTGCTTTTTTTCCCACCCCCTAAGTAAATCTATTAATACCCTCCTGCTTAAGAAGTTTCAACAAATCATTCATCTTAATCATTAAAATTCTCATCAACAGAGATCATTAGAATTTCTTTTACACATTTACCCATAATATTTCATAATTATTTTTATACACTTTAAATTAAAAATTTTATAATATATATACTCCCAAATTTTTAAACTTTTCCACTAAATCACCTTCTATTATTCTTTTTCTTTACATCTGCATACTACACAAATCATTCACTATTCCTTTAAAACATCTTCTACCTCAAAAAACTACTACAAAAGTTCATCATTTCCTTTTCTTTATTCCAATATCCGCCTTCTGCTGTTCTTTTACTTTACGTCTATAGGCTGCACGAGTCATTCTCGGTTTCTTTAAAAAATCTTCTGTCACAAGAGACTGCTGCAGAGGTTCAGCCTGTATGTCTCCTACATTCAATAACATAGCACCTTCAACCGGCTGCCCTTCCGACTTTTCTTCTGTAATCTCAGATCGTAAAGATGATGGAGAGCCCGCCTTCAAAACAGAAGTGTAAAAATCTTTCGCCTTTGAAATTGTGTTAAGTCTATGATATATCCCCGCATAATTCACCGCTATTCCAGACGGTATCTCCCATCTGAACCGGACCTGTCGTTTTTTGAGCTCATCAGCCAAAAAAGCAAAATCCTTTCTTTTTCTAAGAAGTTTTGAAGGTATTTCTTTTAAAATTATAACATCTTGAGTTGCAATTTGAAATCTCTGCTTATAAAAAGCCTGTAAAATTTCATTATGAAGTGATCTTCTAGAAAAATAAATAACCACGTCTCGTGGCAAATTCCTCTGCATCGCAACCCTTGAATTAACCCTAAAAACTTTTTCCGTCTCTCTCAGTATTTCTTCAGGCTCAGCCCCCAAAATGAAAACTATATCTTTTACCACCACTTGTCTCAAATCGTCTTGCATGTTTTCCTTCATTCCCCTTATTCTTAAAGCAAATTCCATGTCTCTATATTGTAACATTGTAATTTCATCCAGTATTATTTCCGCCTTATTTTCTACTTTATCAATCCGATCTTCCAGTTTTTCAGAATTTTCCACAACATCATCAATACGATCATCCAGTCGATCTATATGACAAACAAACTTTTGAAATGCAGACGCAATATCCTCTCTCAGTTCCCTAATTTTATTTTCAAGAAATTCCTCCATCTCTTCTTTAATCTGTCTTGCCTTATTTCCCAAGGCCTCCTGTAAATCTTTAAGTATAGATGCTGGTAATGATGGAGAAGGTGGTGGTAACTTAAACTTAGCTTGCTGAGCTGTCTGCATTACTGGGAAGATCGAGGCTTTAGAAACAATAGAAGCTCCGAGACGCTTTGAAGCCATTTTAGTTTTAAGACCACTTGTTAAAAAGTCTGCTAAAATCTTATAAAATCAACAAATACCAAAAAAGGGGGGGGGAGGAAAAAAGACAAAAGCCCGCTTAAAAGAAAAAAAAAGATTCTTGCATTTTATATAAATACAAAATCTGTTACATTGTTTCAAATAGAAGTTCCAGTCCTTTCACTCAAAGAATCTCAGCACCATTTTTCACCATTCTTAATTGAAAAAAAAGGAAAAGATAAATTCTTTTCCAGAGTTAAAGTCTCAAAATAATCACCATTTTAATTTCTCCTGGTCAGCTCTGTCTGCTTTAAATTTTACTCACAAATTCATTTTAAGAGCAGATGTGGAAGCAGCATCTAGCTTTGACCTGGATAAAAATCAGGGCAAAGGCATCCTGGAATGTGGAGGACACCTCAGACTCCGTGGGAGCTTTCACCCTCCGACCACCAAAAAGAAAGCTTTGGGGTCTCAGGGAGCTCTACCACTATCTGAGGAAAGCTCACCTCCTCCCCTTTGCCCGGGGAGAGAGGCTCCAAGCCACGAGACAGCTGTTGCTCGCTGTCTCAGCTGGCTTTGGTACATCCCAGGGCAGACGGCTGAAAAAAGTCACCATCGCCGCAGCCGTCGCCACTGGAAGTCTGTATTGAATATTAATCACACCATAGCTCTAAATGACATTTTCTTTCACCATTGTACTTAAAAGTGTTCCAGCCTGAGTGGAGAGAGTAAAGAAATAGTGATGGAAAGAGTTTGGTTCTAGAATTACCTAAGAGTCCTAAATTATCCTAAATAATTTACTTTTGGTCCCTTCCAGCTTCTATTCTATTCTATTCTATTCTATTCTATTCTATTCTATTCTATTCTATTCTATTCTATATTTTGCTGGTTCCCTTACTTTCTCCAAGACTGGTTCCATCAATGTTTCATTGGCAGCAAGAGGGCCTGCCCTTAGTCCCTACTATGTGAGATACTATATTGCTTGGTAGTCTCTCCACTCCTATTTAACATCTACGTAAAGCCACTCAGTGAGTTTATCCATCACCATGAGTTGAGATGTCATTAACATGCTGATGTACCCAATTATACATCTCTGCCATTGGCAAAACGATGCTGCTAATCTGATACTGTCTTGTATCTGGATATTGTAAGAATTTGGATGGGAAGCAATGGACTCTGGCTCGATCTTGACAAGACTGAGTTATTTTAGGTTGGGGGGGCTTCTGATTCTGGAATTTGCCACCAGGATGGGATGGGATGAGATGAGATAACAGTGCCCCATACAGAGTCAGTATACAATCTGGGAATCCTTTTGGACTCACAACTCCTACTCAAGCAGGAGACAAACATGGCAAGGAGTTTCATTTCACATTATGCACCAGCAGGGCTTTTTTTTGTCATAGAACACTCAGAACGGAGTTCCGGCACCTTTTTTGGATGGAACCTTGAAGAGTAGGCAAGGTGGGTTGTATGACATGTGTGAGTTCCGGCACCATTTTTTTTTTTTTTTTACAAAAAACGCACTGTGCACCAGTTACATTTGCCCATTCCTGTATTGAGAGATTCTCAGTTACTCATGTCCAAATTGTTTATTGTAATGCTCTCTACATGGGGCTATCCTTGAAGAGTATCCAAAGCTCAGCCGGTACAAAATGCAGTGATACAGGCAGTTATGTCTCTTTTCAAAATACATGTCATACCTCAGTTGCTTTGCTATGGTGCATGGCATCATTTAATACAATATATTTCAATCTTTATAAGAAAATATTAAAATCATCTTCAAAAAAGAACAGTAATTTATATGTGAAAGCCAAGTTAGTGTAATGTTAAGGAACCAGGTTAGAAACTGGAAAACCCTGAAGTCTAATTCCATATTAAGCACACACAAAAAACCATCTGGGTGACTTTGGAGCAGGCAGTCTCTCTTGGTCAGTGACAAATCACTTCTGAAATCTTGCCAAGAAAACTGTCCAGGCAGCCATCTGGAGTCAAGACTCACTCAGAGACACAGAAACAAAAAAATAAACACTATATAAAGCTCTGAAATATTTAAGGTTGTATTTCATCATTTCAATAAAAATAAGTCTTTGCTAATATTGAGACTAAAATAGATAGGTATTAATGCTCCTTGTTCTTCATACTACAGTTTAATTGGCAACATCTAACTTTTTGGAGGCTGACATTTACAAAGCTCCTAGCACAAACACTGCCAGTTTTTAGTCAGCTTCAGAAAGCATTCCTATAAAAGGCAGTGTCAAGCCAGTTATGTATTGTTCCCAAGAAAATTTCATGGAGGAATCATATAGTCCTAAACTTCACTTAAGAGCATTTCGTGCATGGTCATCATCTTGCCAACTCATGATTTTTTCATTACCTCCATACATTTACATGATTAGTATTCATGTCATCAACTGTCTGTTTTATGCTGTACTTCATATTTTTAATTATATATAGTATAGTATATTATGATTCTCTTAATGCAAGAGATGCTTATGAATACAATCTCATTTTCCTTTCTATAAAATGGTATCATATCACTTGCAATTCCTATTCTTTTAGATTATTCTTTGATGCTTTTTCTTGTAATCTTAGAGGCAAACTTTCATACTTTACACTACAAAAAATTGAGCAGAATTGAGGGTTTGAAAGATCAGTTGTCAGCTTGATTGATAGGGGGGAAGCCAGCCAGTGAAAACTCCTTCTTTTACCATACTTATCGTTCCAGCAATTAGAATCATAGAGGAGTACATACTATGTATTATGTGCACCTATATATTAAGCTCCAATAATAACTTGTCAATTAATTCATGTTTAAAATGGCTCTCAGCTAGAAGTTAGCACATATCAGAGAAAAGTGTTCCTTTTGGTAAGGTTGTGTTAGATTATCATTTAGAATGGGAACCTGCTTGCAAAATAATGCAAACAATTCATAAGAGTGAAGTTGGAAAAACAAAGTTGCTTTTCTGTTCTGATAAAGCATGGCTGAGATCTGTTTTTAGTGACTAAGAAAAGAGGAAAACTGATAATTGATAGGAAAAGGTAATAATAAAAAGCTAAAGTAGAAAAGTCTTTCAGCATATTTTTAGAGGTAGGTCTATATTCAAACTACACAGTTGATTACTAAAAATACTACAGCTATAGTTAAGCAAGCAGTCTTTCTACACAGACCTGCTGAATCTGCTCAGAAAACTCATGCATAATAATGTTTAAGTGGGCAAAGTTTTAGTTAGAGTCTGGATAATAGCCCTTAGAAGCCTCATAGTAGATATTACTGAGTTTATTTTTTAAAAAATCATGCAAATATAGCAAGTAATACTGCTTTAGTAGAGTTTTTAAGTAGATTTTCTCATTTGGAATTTTAAAAAATTCTAAATTTTCAGATTGAACAACATCAACAAAATTTAGAAGCATTGTATGATGAAAGTATTGCTGAACAGGAAAAACTTGCAGCCCGAAAAATTCAAACAACTCGCCGTTTACACAGTGCATCTATATTAAGCACAGCTCTAAAGGATGAAATGGTATTACCTTTTAAATCTGCTCTAATGCTTAAGTTCAAACTTCATTCTTCACATTTTCAACTGCTTTTTCTCACTGAATCTTTCCCCCATTATATATTTCAGCATTGGGTTATATTTTATGCACAATTGTGATTTTCCTCATTATTCATATCTAAAATCTCATATTTGTGATTCCTATGTCACCAATGTATTGCTGATTTGAAAATAAATACATTTTATTAATGTCTTCATTAATGATATAGCATCCTTGTGGTAGCTGGATGATGTTATACGTTATTACTGCAGACTTGATGTTTCACATATATGCTGATACTTTCTGACCTACTAGGAATTGACCAAATAAATAATTATGAGGTCGTGACCATATACTATAGTTTAATAAAAACACAAAAAGTATGTGTTTTTCAAATATCCAATATTAATGCCCTTGTGGTCATAGTGTGTTACTACACTTAGAATAATTTGTATAGTACTGTGGTCATTGTGCTTCAGAAAAAAAACAGAACTGGAAAATGTGCAAAAAATAATATATAAAACCCCTTCTTTACTCCCTTGTGAAGAAAGACTACAAAAAGGCCCATAATATAATAATAATGTATAGAATTATACATGTATGAGAAAAGTTCACTCATCATAGTACAGTGGTGGCGAACCTATGGCACGGGTGCTAAACGCAGCACTCAGAGCCCTCTCTGTGGGCACATGTGCCGTCGCCCCAGTCCTAGGCCTTCAGCTGAGTTTTATAAAACCTTTTTGCTTTAGGCCTCCACTGCCATGTGCAAAAAAAAAAAGGTTCACGTCGGGGTCACCAGTTGTGGGTTTTCTTGCGCCCAGCGGTCTCCCATGGGTGTTGAAGAACAGACACGTACACGTGGTTTCCTCGGGATGGGAGCCTCGAACAAAGCCGAAGCATCCCTTTTATTGTGTTATCAGAAGGCGGGTTTATAGGCACCTGGTGACCACCTTACACCAACCACATTTGTTATGACACAGCATATTAGCATATTACACGTGCTAACTTTGTTTTGCACACGCTACTATACAGCTGTTGCACACGGCACTAACAAACACCAAAACAACATTCCCTTGCACCGCACGGCACAAACTTGTTTACACCAATCTTTTTTTTCTTTTGACTTCCTTATACCTTGACCTACTGCAGCTGATGACTCAGCCTAACAGGCCAGATAATCCAGATAATTCCAACAAATCAATCAATCAATTTCAACTTCTCGCAGGAAAAAAAAGATCTTGCAAAGTTGGAATTGATTGATTGAACTTTTTAGTCCTACCCAGCCTGCTGTTACCACCGCAGCCACGCCCACCCAATGGGCCATACCCCCCAATGGGCCACACCCAGCCAATCGGCCACACCCACCCAGCACCCAACAATGCATAAGGGGGTTTGGATTGCAATTTGGGCACTCGGTCTCTAAAAGATTTGCCATCACTGTCATAGTAGAACCCAGAAATATTTGATGATTTAGTGTGATAGGAGGTTTCAGAGAGAAAAAACTACTTTCAATTCAGAATAAGCTGGAAGAGACCTTGCAGGTCTTCTAGTCCAACCCCCTGTCAAGCAGGAGACCCTATACCATTTCAGACAAGTGGCTGTCCAATCTCTTCTTAAAAATCTCCATTGATGAAGCACCCACAACTTCTGAATGCAAGCTGTTCTACTGGTTAATTGTTCTCATTATTGGGAAGTTTCTCCTTAATTCCAGGTTGCTTCTCTCCTTGATTAGTTTCCATCCATTGTTTCTTGTCTTACCCTCAGGTGCCTTGGAAAATAAGTTGACCCTCTCTTCTTTGTGGCAGCCCCTCAAATACTGGAAATACTGTTATCATGTCACCCCTAGTCCTTTTTTTTTCTCTGGACTGGCCATACCCAAATCCTGCAATCATTCTTTATATTTATTTATTTATTTATTTATTTACAAATATTTATATGCCGCCCAATCCCAAAGGACTCAGGGCGGCGTACAAAGTTAAAAACAGTCATAAAACAATAAAATAAAATAATCCAGTCATACCGCGAGTCCGATCATATCCCGGCCCGCCGAGGACATCAGCCCCAGGCCTGCCGGAACAGGAGAGTTTTAACGGCTTTCTTAAAGGCCGGCAGGGTGGGAGTGGTTCGAACCTCGGGGGGATTCCACCAGGTCGGAGCCACCACAGAAAAGGCCCTTCCCCGAGGGCCCGCCAGCCGACATTGTCTGGCCGACGGGACCTGAAGGAGGCCCAATCTATGGGACCTCACCGGTCTCTGGGAGCTGTGCGGCAGAATGCGGTCCTGTAAGTAACCTGGCCCTATGCCATGAAGGGCTTTGAAGGTGATAACCAACACCTTGAATTGCGTCCAGAGACCCACAGGAAGCCAGTGCAGCTCGTGGAGGATAGGTGACACGTGGGCGTACCTTGGCGCGCCCACAATCGCTCTCGCGGCTGCGTTCTGAACCAACTGCAGCCTCCGAACGCCCTTCAAGGGTAGCCCCATGTAGAGCGCATTACAGTAATCCAGTCTTGAGGTGACAAGGGCATGAGTGACTGTGAGTAAAGCCTCCCGGTCCAAATAAGGCCGCAACTGGTGCACTAGGCGAACCTGTGCAAAGGTCCCCCTGGCCACAGCCGATAGATGTTGTTCCAAATTTAGCTGTGAGTCCAGGAGGACACCCAAGTTGCGTGCCTGCACTGAGGGAGGTAAATTTGCCCCCCCCCAGGACTAAAGATGGACCATCCAGTTGGCCTTTGGGAGGCAAGACCCAGAGCCACTCGGTCTTGTCAGGGTTGAGTCTAAGCCTGTTCACCCCCATCCAGACCCTCACATCTTCCAGGCACCGGCACATCACGTCGACTGCTTCACTGAAAGGACACGGGGTGGAGATATACAATTGGGTATCATCAGCGTACTGATGATACTTCACCCCGTGTCGCCGAATGATCTCACCCAGCGGTTTCATGTAGATGTTAAAAAGAAGGGGGGACAGGACCGAGCCCTGAGGCACCCCATAATCGAGGCGCCTAGGGGTCGATCTCTGTCCACCCGCCAACACCGACTGCGACCTGTCAGAGAGGTAGGAGGAGAACCACCGCAATACGGTGCCGCCCACCCCCACCTCTCCGAGACGACGCAGAAGGATACCATGGTCGATGGTATCGAAAGCCGCTGAGAGGTCAAGAAGCACCAGGATAGAGGAATAACCCCTATCCCGGGCTCGCCAGAGGTCATCGGTCAGTGCGACCAAAGCAGTCTCAGTGCTGTAGCCGGGCCTGAAACCAGATTGAAAAGGGTCCAGATAATTGGTTTCATCCAAGGATCGCAAGAGTTGAGACGCCACCACCTTCTCTACAACCTTCCCCACAAAGGGGAGGTTGGAGACGGGACGAAAGTTCTTCAAAACAGCTGGGTCCAGGGAAGGCTTCTTGAGGAGGGGCCTCACCACCGCTTCCTTTAAAGGTTGCGGGAAAGACCCCTCCATCAAGGAGGCGTTGATTATCGCCTGGAGCCAGCCTCGTGTCACCTCCCTACTGGCAGAAACCAGCCAGGAGGGGCACGGGTCCAATAAACAGGTGGCGGCATTCATTGCCCTCACGGCCTTGTCCACTTCATCAGGGGTCACAGGCTCAAACTCGCTCCAGATAACATGACTAAGACCAGCCCCTGGCAACTCGGCTGGCACTGCCCAGTCGGAGTCCAGGTCTCTCTGAATCTGAGCGATTTTGTCCGACAGAAACTGAACAAACTCCTCAGCTCTCCCCTGCAAGGGTTCCTCCGCCTCCTCCACTTTAAGAAGGGAGCGGGTCACCCTAAACAAGGTGGCCGGGCGAGATTCTGCGGACGCAATAAGTGCGGAAAAGTGAACATGCTTTGCCGCCCTTATCGCCACTAAATAAGTCCTAAGATAGGCTCTTAATAGTGATCGGTCAGATTCAGAGTTACTGGCCCTCCAATGTCGCTCTAGACGTCTCTTGTGGCGCTTCATCTCCCGGAGCTCCTCAGTAAACCAAGGAGCCCTCCGGGGACCACCACCACAGAGAGGTCGCAAAGGCGCAATTCGATCCAGGGCCCCGGACGCCGCCTCATTCCAGGCCGCAACCAGGGACCCGGACGAGTTGTGGACAAGGGAGTCAGGTATTTCCCCAAGCTCCTCCTGGAACCGGTCTGGGTCCATTAGGCGCCTGGGGCGGAACCACCTAGTCGGCTCCCTCTCCCTGCGATGGGGGAGTGATGCTCTGAAGTCCAGCCTCAATAGGAAATGATCTGTCCATGACAAGGGCGAGATCTCTATTCCCCTTAATTCCAGATCATATCTCCATTGCCCCGAGAGAAACACAAGGTCAAGTGTGTGACCACCCCTATGAGTTGGATCCTGAATTACCTGAATTATGTTTTAGTCTCTAGGCCAGTGGTTCTCAACGTTTGTGTGACGGCGACCCCCGTCACACAAACGTTCTGCGCATGCGCGGTGCCGCCCCATGCGTGGCGCGCATGTGCGGCGCCGCCCCCTGAGGGGAGAAAATGGCGGATCGCCTTCTTTGGCGACCCCCGAAAAATGGTCGATCGACCCCAAATGGGGTCGCGACCCATAGGTTGAGAACCGCTGCTCTAGGCCTTTAATTGCTCTTCTCTGCACTTTTTCCAAAGTCTTAACATGTTTTTGTAATGTGGTGACCAAAACTGGATGCAGTATCCCAAGTGTGGTATTACTAAGATTTATAAAGCTTACTAAGATTTATAAAGCGATATTAATATTTCATGTGATTTTGATTCATAAAGTATTGTAGAACTTGCTATGGCAAGAGTTAATGATAGACATAAAATTGGATAGTTTTGAAAGTATGGTCACACTTGTGGAGAATAAAGTATTACATATTGTAGCTATTTGTTATGATGGCTACTTACTGTTTCTAAGATAAAGGAATACCAGTGACCAGCAAATAACTGATGTACTGTTTCTGAGCTCCTAATCACATTTAATTGGAGGCCTTTTTATAATCTTCTAATTGATATTTGGCTTGTATGGTGGATGAGATTAGGTTACCAGATATCTGAATAGGCAAAGGATGACATAAGAGAATTGGTAGGGATGGCAAATGAGGGAAAAGGAAGACATACTGTCTAATTTCTTGAAAATGCACTTTTCAATTTTTACCACAGTAATATATGAGGAGTCGTGTGATCTACAGACTAGAGTGATTATAAATTTGAAGGGGATGGGTTGAAGCCAATTGCTAGAATCAGGAAATAAAATTAATCAGTTGAGCCTGTTGACAGTTGAAGAAAATAAAGAAGCGATTTACAAGGTCACATTACACAAAAGTTTGAATGACTACTATTGTGAAAACAAAAATACAAGATACTTTTAAAAAGCTAGAAAATGTTTGATTTTAAAGCCATGCCTGCTAGATGGAGGACATGAAAGCAAAAAGGATATGTCCTCTATTTGCCCAGTGTTTGGTAACCCTAGATGAGATGGGTTTTGATCTTAAACAATGCAACAATGGCAATTGTTATTTTGTTCCTAATATAGCTGAGAGAATAAAATGTGTTCCTGTTAGCCTCAGATACTAGGATTTAGTTCACATTTCAGTGGTTCCAAAGCTATTCTTTGTTAAATAAATAGTTCTTATCCATTTGTTTGGAGACATATGAATTTTTCAACCATTTGGGTGAACAAAGCAAAACAAGCCAATGTTATAAATAATAGAATAGAATTCTTTTAGGATGATTGGATGACCTTTAGAAGTTAATAGCCTGGTTTTTTTTTGTTTCTGCCTTCCATTAATGTTTTCTTAGATAGGGTAAGAATGCACTTTCTCAGAACATTTCTGAATCTACTTATGGTCCTTTCAGGAGTAGGCAACACAAAACTCCAGACTTTTGTCTTCTCATTTAATTATGAGTTCTACAGTATACCGCATAAGCTAAACAAACTAGCAACACTAATATTCAAATTTATGATACATAGCTATATATTTTTCTTCCTTAGGAACGCTGGAAAGAATCTGTTAATAATCTTGACCAAAGATTGCAAGGAATTGTAGGTGATGCCCTTATATCAGCAGCTTATATTGTCTACAGTGGAGTGTTATCAGTGGGATATCGTCAACAGCTAGTCAATGACAGTTTGCAACTCTGCAATGAAAATAATATTTTGGTCTCTCCAAATTATTCATTGGTTAACTGCATGACCGAAAAGAATGAGGTAGTAAACACAGAGAGAAAAATAAGAATTAAATTGTTTTATTTATAATTTTATCTAAACACTTTTCTCAAATTTAACATTTCTTCCTCAGATTACACTTTCTATCAGTTAAAGTAATTAATAAATAGTTGTATTATTAGAATTTCTTCGAGAAAATATACTTCCTGATTTACAGGATTGTTCATTATTAACATAATTAGTGGATATGTGGGGGGGGACAATATTATAGGCAAGAATATAAATCTATTAAATCATTTTATAGGTCCGCAGATGGCAAAATGCAGGTTTGCCACATGATCAATACTCCACAGAAAATGCAATACTTGTTAAACATGGACAACAGTGGCCTTTATTAATTGATCCAGAAAGGCAAGCTTACAAATGGATATGTCAAATGGAAGGCAGCAAACTGCGACAAATCAGTGCTACAGATGCCAGTTATTTAAAAACAATTGAATATTCTTTGCAGTTTGGTGAATCAGTCCTTTTGCAGGTAATTCAACTTCAACACAAGCTAGTCATCCAACATACAAATCAAGAAAAATATAATGCAATCAGTGCAAAAGATGAGCACCTACACCAGTGGTTCTCAACCTTTTTAATGCCGCGACCCCCAACTGGTCGTAAGTTGAGGACTACTCAACCGGTCGTAAGTCGAGGACTACTCGACTGGTGCAGCACCGTTTGCAGAATGGGACTTTTGGTGGGCTCAACAGGGTAGAGACAGCCTGGACAATTCCTATTGGCTTTTGAAAGCCAATAGAATTAGACTCTATTCAAGAGAGTCTATTCTATTGGCTTTCAAAAGCCAATAGAATAAAAGGGAGTAGCACAGCTAAGGAAAAGAGGGAAAAAAATGGCGGACTGCATTGTTTGGCGACCCCCGTGAAATGGTCGTTCGACCCCAAATGGTTGAGAACCACTGAGATTGAGAACCACTGAGTTACACTATAACATAGGAGATTGAGTTACACTATCACATAGGAGGTTTTGAACTAATTCCCTATTTACTATTAAAAGACATTTAAAAAAAATAGGGCTGATTTTACTAATTAATATTGGATATAAACAACCACTAACAACTGGGCATTGGAAGAAAGAGAACTACTGAAGAACTGTACCTTTACTCCATCCTCCCTAGGAGGAAAACCATGATCAACAGCATCATAGGAAAGTCAGGATAGATAAGTTACTCTAAGGGAAGAATACCCATCAATGGTATCTCAGTACTATATCCTGATCTGAAGTTGACTGTAATGGATCCAGATAATCTGCTTCCTTCAGATTCCTTGATTTCAAGCTATAGAAAGACCACCTACTAAACAACCTTCTTCAAAAAGAGAAGGTCAGAGATTAGACCCACATGGCCAATGTTTAACTGAGCAATTCCAAATCTGACTGATGCTTCATATAATCTTCACAGCAGCCCTGAAAAGGTTCCTGTGACCCTTCTCTATACAAATATAATTGGGTCCAATACATTCTAACCATTATTTATTGTGGTATATGAATGGAATAAAAAAATTAGAGGCTAGACACTCTAGGTATAGACGTTAAGACTGCCCCCCATTGTCTAGCCTCTAATTTTTTTATTCCATTCATCCATTACCATCTGCATATTAAATTGACTTATTGACAACAAATATTTACAGGCACTAATAGCAGGGTTTTTTTAGTTTTAAAAGATTTAACCAGTTGTTCTAGCAACCTGGGTGTCTCAGAAGCTAAAAATGCAATCCAAACAATGTTGTTAGCAAATGTTGTCACTGTAAACATTGTCAATGAGTTATATTTGATATATATATTTGTCTCTTAGCACAGCATATGTTAAAAATTCATCCTCATCATCTTATCAATTGATCCAAAATCAATGTCCCCACTTTGATTCAATTTTTCCAAATTGCCATCTTTCTCCCAATTTTTAATGTTGGATTTTTTTTCATAAAGTCAATTTAGATGGGGAAAAGGATTAAATTTTTTTAGATATTACATTCCATGGCTTTTTAATTGATATAAATGTTTCCAGAGATACTAGAGCACTATTATATTCATGCTTCTTAGAATGTGATCAATTTATAATGTTTTGTGCATTTTAAGCCATAGCAATATATTAGTATTCCTCACTGGAAGCAATTCCTCATCAAGAAAAGAGCAAAGTATAGAGTATCTTAATTACTATAGGAAGTGCTTTTTTCAAAAAACAGGAAAGTTACTTACTGTATATGTAACATTGACTACAGTTTTATGTTTTTTTAGGATTTTCCTGAAACGTTGGATTCAAATATAAAATCAATCTTAAGCAAAGAGATCTACAAAAAAGGAGGGCAAGAATTCATTAGAATAGGAGATTCTGAAATTCAGTACAATTCAGATTTTCGGTAACTGCAGTATTGCTGAATGTTGTTATTTGGAAATTGTCTACTGCTAGATTAAAATTATTTAAAAAACAGTATAAAATATATAAAAACATGTGCATCACAGAATGCCATAGTGAGTTATGCACTATTAAATCCAGTGAAGTTCACAAGCAGTAGAGCTACCAGAACTTTCAGCACCTTGAACTCTAGGAGAAAAGGCACCTCAGAGCACATGTGTATGCATGCATAACATCAGTCAGTAATTCTTTATATCTAATGCATATTTTCCTTTAATTATGCATTTTATTATTGTTTATATGATTATGTTATAGAGGAAAACTACATAATCTGGGAAAAGATGCAGCTATTTTAAGGGGTTAACAACTTCTGTAGAGTTAGTCACAGTCTTTCCATTCTATACATTCAAACCACCCCACTCATGAACGTTTCTTATGCTCCTTACTGATTATTCCTTATTGAGTCACTCCAACTCAATAATGAGAATTGGCAAGTTGAAATGTCCTATTGTTCTATTCGAAATTTAAAAAGGAAAAAGAAAAATTAATTTCCAGTGAAAGGCCCTGAAAACATAACCAACTTTACAGATTTTTAAAATGCAGGCCAAGCAAGAGCCAAACAGATCTCTTCCATATGCCAGAAAACAGTCCTCAGAAAGTGGAGGGTGGAGCAATCTTCCAAAGATGCAAATCTTAACAATCAGACAGTGTTATACTGGTGTTCCCTTACATTAGATAGCCAAGTTTTAAGTCACTGAGTTATTTATAGACTAATATTTTAGATTAAATGCAAGTAACAAAATAAATGAAAATTTGGCTCTAGAAAAAAATATTCAAGATGTTAGATGATATTAAATGTTCTTTTTAATATAAACATTACGATATTGTAATATTTTGTGATATTACAAAATCACAAATTACATAACATATAAAAAAGTAGTATTTACTTCTTAGATCTGTGCAGAAGATTTTTCCCTAATGGATATGAGTTATAATTAAAGATAATATTATTATAACATAGATTGGTGTGCTGTATGAAAAAGTTTTATAAATATTTATGATTATTTCAGATTATACCTGACAACACAGAAATTCAATCCTCATTTTCTGCCAGCAACATGCAATATTGTTACAATAATAAACTTCACGTTAACATTCCATGGTTTGCAAAATCAGCTGTTATCTGCGGTTGTAAATAAGAAAAAACCTGAGCTTGAAAAACAGTACTGCAAGTTGATGGAAAGCATATCAATTGATCTGGTAGCATTACGTGAATATGAACAAAGATCACTTCAACTTTTGCAAAAAACAAGTGGTAAATAAAACTTTGAAAAACTTCATATATTTTATATCATTTTGCAGAGAGTGCAATATGTTATTAAATAGAATTCAAAGGTCAAAAACTTCATTTTTTTGAAAATAATGTTTCATTATATGTGTTCAAATGCTTATAATCTTCATTTGGACAGTAGCAGAATAAAATCTAATTCTTGCCATCTCACATGTTATCTATTAACATAATTCTGCATCGTTCTAATTATAATTGAAAGGCACCTTCTTACAGTAATTTTCATTGCAATATTATGATCATCCCCAAATGCCTTCCTATAACTCTCTATGCTTTCTGATATGTAGATATATAGATAATAATCAGTTAACAATGGTAATTGGGGCCAGAATTTCCATTGCTAGCAATGCAGTTGTAAAGCATGATGTCATGTAACTATGCCACTTAGGGATTGCAAACCTGAACTCCTGATTGCCATCATTAAGTGAGGGTCACTGTAGTTGCTCTATCAGTGAGATGAGCAGCATAGAAATTGAATAAATAAATAAATAACCACAAGTCATTAAGCAAAGACTTCCTCACAATTTCCTGTAGACTTCCAACAAGCAAAATCAATGGGGAAGATTCCAGGATCCAGGAATGTGCACAAGTGGCTGGCATTGCATGAACATGGCATTCCTTAGGATGGCTACTGCAGGATGTGGGAGGATGCAGGAGGGCACCTGAGGGGCTGGTGTGGCATGAGCACATGTAGTGGTATGTGGGAAAGGCCTTGAGAGACGGTGAAGAGTTGCTGTTTAGAGAATAATCAAATAAGGAAGGGCATAGCCCACAGTAGGGGTAATTGTGTAGGTTCAGAAGGGACTCTCCCTAACTTCTTGGACTTGCAAAACTGATGTTAGTCAGGTAGACAAGAAAGAAAACATGACCAAGAGAATTAATTCTGCTTTATTATATGGCTTTATTAACACAATCATGGAAGTCTGAAAATACAAATCTCCCACCATCTCCTTTATGGTGTGAGAAGATGGTTTGCATTTTATTATTTGAGCCCTGATGGTGCAGTGGTTAGAATGCAGTACTGCAGACTACTTCTGCTGACTCCCAGCTGCAAGCAGTTTGGCAGTTCGAATCTCACCAGGCTCAAGGTTGACTCAGCCTTCTGAGATCGATAAAATGAGGACCCAGATTGTTAGGGGCAATATGCTGACTCTGTAAACTTCTTAAAGAGGGCTATAAAGCACTTGAAGCAGTATATAAGTCTAAGTGCTATTGCTATTATTTACCTTTATCCAGTATAACTAATATACATATAGAAAAATATACACACAGGATGAAATGGAATCTTATATTTAAAAATATGCATTTCACAGGGATAGTTCTCATTATCTTACATTTGAGGCTGTCTCTTTATATATCACACATATTACATCCCTCTTCCAAACATGACATGGAACATGCAGTTACGACATTATTCATATTTTTCCTGGAACTCCAAGTAATGCTTGTTTGTCATCCCAGTGTATTCTTTTGGCAATTTTTATTTATAAGAACCCCAACAACTGGCATATCCATAAGTAAAAATATGTATTTCTCTGGGACCAGGCAACTATACTGTGAGCCCAGGAAAAGATGGTTTTAAGATAGGTCCAACAGCTGCAGCAAGGTTTCCTTTTTTTCCCCAGTACCTTTTCAGATCCAAATAGCTGCATAGTTCTAGTAATGTCATATAAAGCCATCTTTTACTTCTTTCATAACTTTGCTAACAAGCCCCCGTTGTTATAGTGCTTTCTGGTTTGTAAAGTGAATAGTTAATTTAGAAAATTTAATTACTTAATTTATTCTATTCTACAATTCAATTACACTTTTTTACAGGGCACCTTTTAGATGACCAAGACCTCATTGAAAATTTGCAGCGAACAAAAATTACCTCATCAGAGATTTTTCAGCGTGTAGCAGATTCAGCAGCAACAGAAGTCACCATAGAAGGAATGCGTAAAGCCTATATTCCTATAGCAACTCGTGGTGCTGTGCTCTACTTCGTAATATCAGATCTTGTACACATCAACCATGTCTATCAGTTTTCACTGAATTGGTTTCTTAAGATCTTTGTAGACTCTATAGATAATGTGAAGAAAAGTGACATTTCTCTCAGTGATTCTCTTTCAAGTACAAAAATAAGTGAATATAAGGTACAAAGTGAAGAAACATCAACCGAAAGTGAGACTGAGATAGATTATTTCAAAATAGATATTAATGAGATAATTGAAACACTAACGTATCATGTCTATGAGGTACTTAAATGTTATAATACACAAATTATTTTCAGCTAATAGGATTTGTATATATATGCAAATGTTAATGGTTATACGTTTTTTTGCAGACAGTTTCTCCAGCTTTGTTCAATAAAAATAAGCTATGCTTTGCTTTCCTACTGTGCACAGCAATCATGAAAAATAATTGTGATGAAAATTTATTCACAAATAACCTTGGATTTATATCAGAGAATGAGTGGAATTTCTTCCTGTACTCTAGCATGATAGCAAATATTAAGCAACCATCAATCTCTGACTATACTGGTAAACCAGAAATATTTATATTTTCTGTAAAGAAATGTGTAAAGATAGTAATGTGCTCTCAAGGATGGATTTCATCATCCTTGAGTAAATATGTAATATATATGTAAATTATAGTAAGAATTGGTCACAGAAGTAACCAACATTCCATTTTTTACAAAATATTTCCATTGAGCTAAGCAATTACTTTTAGATTTTATAGGGAAAAAATCCTTTTCTCTTGACTCTTAACTCTGTTGTTTTCCTTCAGCTACTTTATTATTTTCTCATCTATTTTAACAGTGGAGATAACCAGAAGTACCTGCTATCTATTCACAAGTAAATTTTTGACTTCTTCTATATTAGAGTCATAGAATCATAACTTTAGAAAGCCACACAGGCTTTCAAGACCCACTAAGCACCCACCTGCTGGGTGCTAAAATCCATTTTTTTCCCTATTTAAAAAATACCTGACAACTCTGGGTACTTAATTGAAGCATATCAAATGGCTAAGTATCTAATCTTTGCTTGAACACATTGATTAAGGGTAGAGGGAAAACGACTCTTTTGGTAAATTGTTCTGCTGTAGGATTATTCCTATTTTTAGGAAGTTTTTTTCTAATATTTTTCTAATATACAACTGGAATCTGTCTTCCAGTGACTTAAATTCCTAGTTCTTTGAAATCAGAGAAAAACTATCTTGATCTTTTTCTTTGTGACATCCTTTCTGATGTTTAAGAGTGCTATCATATCTTATCTCAGTAATCTTTTCTAAAACTAAAGATATACAACTCTTAGAGTCATTCTTCATAAGACTTAGTTTCTAATCTCGTCAACTTTCTTGCCTTTTTCTGAACTAATTCCAGTTTCTTTGATTCCTTCTTAAATTATGGTGCCAAGAACCAGCTACAGTTCTGAAGTTCTTTTGATCCAATATAATAGACTGGAATAATTACGCTTCATAATGTTAATTCTTTGTAGGATTTTATAGAGATTGGTATTTTGAATTAGTGAGCAAAATTGCTTTGCTGAACTTTTTTGCTTTTGGCCTAAGTAACAGTATGCAACACTGTCTGCTATTGTCACAAATTAGCATCCCCTTTTCTGGGTTGCCCGTATACAACTCAATTCTGCATGAAGAACACACTGCAGAGTATAAGCATAATACCTGTATATCTTCAAAAATTAAGTTTCACATATTGTTAAAACAGTATATAATATTATTGAACAAATTAGGAAAACTTTAAATCACTATAAATGTAGATGCATTTATGAATTATTTTAACAAAGCAATCAAATGCATGTCTAGGTAGAACAAAATTCCTCTTTGTTCAATATGTAACTGATGTGCTAGAGGAGGGTTATGTTAGCCTTTTGTTAAATTTAGGGGGCGTTATCCAAGTTATATGTTAAAGTGCCAAAGAAATATCCATTCACAGCTAACTGATTGTGTCCTCCTGGTGATCAAACCAAGTTTAGATACTACCACAGGATACAGCTTTACTCCACAGGATGGCTGAGAAGAGGAAAGGAAAGGAAAAACTGGGCATCTTGAATGTAATAGGTCTAAAGAGAAATTCTCTTTTAAATATCTTCTGTATAAAGCCCCCTTTAGGGCGATTCTGAAACTGATAACAGTTTCTGCATATATATTACTTTTAGCCACAACCTTTAGGATCATGATTGGTCAATTGACTGCCTCTCAGATTGGCTTTTCAATCCACTAGTCAAGATGGTCATGACAACATGGTCATATCACGGACAAAATTAATAATTTGGTTATATTTATCTATTGAATGAAAATCAAAATACCAATATCTGTCCTAATTAAATGTTTCATATTATTTTATTAGGTTCATGTGTAATTAACAAAACTGCTCCATTCCACTGGATAAGTGAAATGATGTGGAAAGAATGTCAGTACATGAGTACTCAAATACCAGCATTCAGCCTATTGTGCGGTTCTCTGTCAACATATCCTCAACAGTGGAAAGATTTTCTAGATAGTGAGAATGTGTATAATTTGATTAGTACATGTTATACACCATTATCACCAAAGCAAGGTAATGCTAAAATATAATGATTTTCCTGGGCTTACACAGTCTCAAGAAAACGCAAGTTTGAAGTATCTATACATCCACTATCTCTACTTTTTCCAAAACCACCTGGAGGAGGATTTGTGCTAATTGTTTTTTCCAACTAGATGTTAGAAATAAATCAATTAAATCATGTATCTAAATGTAGATGAGAAATGTATATCTGTGCAAAAGTCAGAAAGTTGTATGCCTTATACATTTCATGTACTTTATGTAACTATAATATATTTTATTTATTTGGGAAATTTATATTGCTGTCTACTCAAAGCGGTTTACAGGAAACAAAAAACAATATAAAAGAAATAAAAATAATAATAACCCACCATCATCCATCCCAGTGACAACACTTATACCAGCCTTTTAATGAGCTCCATGCCACTCTGGGTTCCCCAAGGCCGCTGGCAGAAACACATCTTCAGGGTCTTCTGAAAGAGTGTCAGAATGGGGGCCAGTCTAATTTCCAGAGGAATGATGTTCCAGAGGGAGGGAGCCACCATGAAGAAGGCCTTTCTTCTGGGTCCACTAGATGTATCTCCTTGGGGGATGGGACCCTTGCCTCCTCACTCTAGTGGGTCCGATGAAGGGCTTTAGAGCTGGCAACCAGCAAATTGGCAACCAGTGCAGCTCCCACAGGAGAGGTGACACATGTGCATACCAAGGTCTGCACAAACCCACTTTAAAAGTTGGTCAATGTTAGTCATATTGTCCGATCCTTTGAAGATAAGAGAATAGTTGAATTGCTTCAGAGCAGTATACTTTCCCACATAAAATAAATCACATTCTCCATAGAATATGTATATTAATGTGAAACAATGATTTGCTGATCAATGAGTAGGAGGATAACAATTAAATGTAAAAGTTTATTCAACAAGAATTGTTGAATTTGTTCTGCAGGATCTCATACTAAAATGAGACAATTATAGAATTTCTAAACATATACAATAAACATTCATTATATGCTTTTTCTTGATGTATTTTTGCACATACTGAGTTCTTTTTGTTCCTTATATGGCCTTTTAAAACACTGATTGCTCACTTCTCTATCCTAGAACATCTTGGCTTGCATACTGATGTATTATTTGTTTTCTTGCGCATGACCTTTAGAAATTATCAGACAACCCATGCCTCATTGGATTATCATTTCAGAGATATTTCCTTACATAAATAAAGAAATAGAATGACCAAGATGAGCAAATAATTAAGCAGTGGAAGTTCCTTCCTTCCTTTTTTTCCTTCCTTCCCCATTCCCTCCTCCCCTTTCCCTTCCCAGCAGGCAGCTAAAGGGCTGCTGCTGGGTGGAAGAGCAAGGGATTATAAGATTGGCTGGAAAACTCACAAAACGTGGAAAATAAAGATTATGTGCAGCAGCCAAGTAGAGCAACAACAGCCACTAGTAATAAAGCAGCTATAACTTCCCCAAATTTAATTCTTTCATGAATCTGGGTTCCATATTTCTGACACATTCTATAAGTTATTCCATTTGAGGTACCTTGATTCAAAAATTGTTTCCTATGAAGTACAATTTCACTCAGTTAAAAGTCATGATGAGAATTTTAGTAAAGGGCATCTTGTTTGATCCCACAATATACTTGGAAAGTTTAATTACATTATATTAAACAAAGTTTATAATACTAGAAAAAGTACCAATTTGTTACAATGTTTATACAGTATAATTGTTAAATATTTGAACATTTCAGTAAGTATTCAATAATTACTTTAATCTGTTAGCAGACTCAGAATCACAGCTAGCAAGAGAAAGTGAAGATGATGAGGAGAGTATACCTATAATTTTTCCTTGGGAGAAGCTTTCTCCATTTGAAAGACTTATCCTGGCAAGTAATGAAAATATTACTGGTTTAAACTATTTTTGGCATCTAGAAAGGCCAGGCTTCTAACTGATTTGAAAGATATCTAACAGTTAATGATATTGGCATACAAATTCAGAAACTGTATTGTATTGGGGTGGCCAAACATTTTTGCTTGGGACTACTAGACTGTCATCTCTTGCTGTTTCTGAGGACTGTGAGGGCATGATTTTGACATTTCAAGTGTGGGAAAGGATGATTTTTTTCAGATCTTTTGTTAGTTTTTCTCATAATTGAAAAGAGGGATAAGGGAGGGGCAAAAATCATGTACTTGTGTTTTTCCACTAGGCAAGACCCAGAACTAAACATCATAACACTTGGTAAAATCTGATTTTTGTAAAAAAAGATGTTATCATTATCACTTTTATTTTGCTAGATAAAAGTTCTACGTGCAGAAATGTTGAACCGTGCAGTACAAATATTTGTAACTGAAAAATTAGGAACTAGGTATCTTCAGACTAGAGGAATTAATTTAAAAGGAATGTATGAAGAATCTGATTCTACAACTCCACTAATTCTCATCCATACTCATGGTGAGCATTTTATAGAGTGTATATGCATCTCTGTGTACAGCATATGTGTATATATGTATTAGTTTATAAATTATTTTTTATATTTACTGTATATCAATGTAAACAATACATTGATCATCTAAAACTACTTATTACTGACAAGATTAGCACATCCTGATTGCTTCCACTCATCTTATCCAATCCAGCAGAAGAGGCATGCTGTGGGTAACGCCCACCTTTGTATAATATCATCCCTCCAGAGATTAGGTTAGGTCTCAATTGTATATTACCGTATATGCTGGCGTATAAGACGACTTCCGGAAGCGCTAAACTCGGTGCCAAAGATGGGGGTCGTTTATATGCCGAGTCGTCTTATACGCCGGAAATACTGGTAGTTTCCGGAGTATAAGACGACGTTCTAGGAAGGCGACTCGGCGATAAAGACGGGGGTTGTCTTATACGCCGGGTCGCCTAATACGCCAGCATATACAGTACTTTAAAATTCTCCAAATCAATACAGATAGTTCTTGACTTTTGACCACAATTGCACCCTAAATTTTTGTTGTTAAGTGAGACATTTGTTAAGTGGGTTTTGCCCCATTTTACGACCTTTTTGCCTCAGTTGTTAAGTGAATCATTGCAGTTAATAAGTTAGTAAGCTGGTTATTAAGTGAATCTGGCTTCCCCATTGCTTTGCTTGTCAGAAGGTTGCAAAAGGTGATCACATGACCCCCTGGAACACTGCAACTGTCATAAATATGAACCAGTTTGCCAAGCATCTGAAGTTTGATCACATGACCATGGGAATGCTGCAAAGGTCATAACTATGAAAAATGGTCATAAATCACTTTTTTCAGTGCCATTGTAACTTTGAACGGTCACTAAATGAATTGTTGTAAGTCGAGGACTACCTGTATGTATATTTGAATCTAGAATTTTTAATCAAATCCACTAAATATGAAACGTCCCTTCATTTTTTCACATTTCCAATATAAATTTGAAGTGCCTTTATAGTTTCTAGACAATTTCTCTGGTGACATTTATTTTCTCATTATTCTATTTGTATATTATAAGCATTTTTTAGCTCACTTCGTCATATGTACTTTCACTTGTTCTTCTTTTGTTGTTGTTGTTGTTTTATATGCATAAATTACACAGAATTTTGTGACTGAGATAGCATAGAAATATATATATATATATATATATATATATATATATATATATATATATATATATATATATATATATATATATATATCCTTAATGGTTATAAAAATATGAATCCCGGGCATATTTGTTCAATGATGCAATCTTCGATCTCCGGGAAGAGTATACTCCAGTTATTTATTGTTAAAACCACATTTAAAACAATAAAAACAGTTATATACAAAAATTAAAACAACTTAGCTTTCGCTGGTCCTCTGCCAGCATCCTCAGAGTGGGGCTTAGGGGGTGGGAAGTTCTTTTTATCCCCTTGCTGATCCAATTGCCTACTCATTGCCCTCGTGACAGGGCCACTCTTTCTGATTGCCTGTGACAACCTTGCCTGTTCCGCCCTCTCTTTTTTGCACTCTAACATTGATTTTTCTTGCTTTGTCATCCTTATGCTGTCTCCCCCTCCCTGTGCTGTTATCAGTAGCCGGCTCCTGGGCTGCTGATCTGCCTGCCGTTTTTGCATACCATTGCCAGTTCATATTACAACTCCCTCCTTCAACCCCCCTCCTCTCCCAGCCTGCCGATTCATACACCCTTTGTTGTCCATTCCTGTCATCCTTCCCCCTCCTTCCTTCAACCCTCCCACCTGTTGATTAACCTGTTGCTCCTGCCTTTCCCCAACCATACTTATTGATGTTCTCTTCCTCAATATCTTTTCCTTCCTGATCCGCTGCTCTACCTGCTGTTCCTGTTTACCCTCCTCCCCCACTGTCCATCTTCCCCTCTCCAATGTCCTCCCCATCATCTGCTGACTTGCCTGTTGTTCATCCATTTCTATACATTCTCTCTTGTCTAGCATTCCTCCTCCTCTGACCTGCCATCCTACATGCTGTTCCCACATGCCAACATCCATTCCTGTTAAACACTCCTTCTTAAGCTTTCCTCCCCCCCAATCTGCCGTCCTACCTTCTATTCTTATCTGCCCTTCTCCTTTCCTGTCAGTCCCCCCCTCTCCTGTTTCCTCCCCCCTCTCCAATAAAAAGAACTTCCCACCCCCTAAGCCCCACTCTGAGGACGCTGGCAGAGGACCAGCGAAAGCTAAGTTGTTTTAATTTTTGTATATAACTGTTTTTATTGTTTTAAATGTGGTTTTAACAATAAATAACTGGAGTATACTCTTCCCGGAGATCGAAGATTGCATCATTGAACACACACACACACACACACACACACACACACACACACACACACACATATATATATATATATATATATATATATATATATATATATATATATATATATATATATATATGTAGGTCTTTGGTTGTTCGGGTTTTCTCCCACGTAAAATTGGAAGTGTCTTGGCGACGTTTCGACGAGTATATATATATTTCGACGTGTATATAGACGTGTATAAAAAGATGAGAGAAGCCTGTAATTGTCATCATAGGTGGACCTCAACTATGAGAGACAAAATGAGAAAACAAATCCAGACAATCACATTGTCTGATTTGGAAAGAATTTATTTGCAAATTATGGTGGAAAATAAGTATTTGGTCACCTACAAACAAGCAAGATTTCTGGCTCTCACAGACCTGTAACTTCTTCTTTAAGAGGCTCCTCTGTCCTCCACTCATTACCTCTATTAATGGCACATGTTTGAACTTGTTATCAGTATACAAGACACCTGTCCACAACCTCAAACAGTCACACTCCAAACTCCACTATGGTGAAGACCAAAGAGCTGTCGAAGGACACCAGAAACAAAATTGTAGACCTGCACCAGGCTGGGAAGACTGAATGTGCAATAGGCAAGCAGCTTGGTGTGAAGAAATCAACTGTGGGAGCAATAATTAGAAAATGGAAGACATACAAGACCACTGATAATCTCCCTCGATCTGGGGCTCCACGCAAGATCTCAACCGTGGGGTCAACATGATCACAAGAACGGTGAGCAAAAATCCCAGAACCACATGGGGGGACCTAGTTAATGACCTGCAGAGAGCTGGGACCAACGTAACAAAGGCAACCATCAATAACACACTATGCCGCCAGGGACTCAGATCCTGCAGTGCCAGACGTGTCCCCCTGCTTAAGTCAGTACATGTCCGGGCCCGTCTGAAGTTTGCTAGAGAGCATTTGGATGATCCAGAAGAGGATTGGGAGAATGTCCTATGGTCAGATGAAACCAAAGTAGAACTGTTAGGTAGAAACACAACTCGTCGTGTTTGGAGGAGAGAGAATGCTGAGTTGCATCCAAAGAACACCATACCTACTGTGAAGCATGGGGGTAGCAACATCATGATTTGGGGCTGTTTCTCTGCAAGGGGACCAGGACGACTGATCCATGTACAGGAAAGAATGAATGGGGCCATGTATCATGAGATTTTGAGTGCAAACCTCCTTCCATCAGCAAGGGCATTGAAGATGAAACGTGGCTGGGTCTTTCAGCATGACAATGATCCCAAACACACCGCCCAGGCAACGAAGGAGTGGCTTCGTAAGAAGTATTTCAAGGTCCTGGAGTGGCCTAGCCTGTCTCCAGATCTCAACCCCATAGAAAACCTTTGGAGGGAGTTGAAAGTCCGTGTTGCCCAGCGACAGCCCCAAAACATCACTGCTCTAGAGGAGATCTGCATGGAGGAATGGGCCAACATACCAGCAACAGTGTGTGCCAACCTTGTGAAGACTAATAGAAAACGTTTGACCTCTGTCATTGACAATAAAGGATATATAACAAAGTATTGAGATGAACTTTTGATATTGACCAAATACTTATTTTCCACCATAATTTGCAAATAAATTCTTTCCAAATCAGACAATGTGATTGTCTGGATTTGTTTTCTCATTTTGTCTCTCATAGTTGAGGTCTACCTATGATGACAATTACAGGCCTCTCTCATCTTTTTAAGTGGGAGAACTTGCACAATTGGTGGCTGACTAAATACTTTTTGCCCCACTGATATATATATATGGAAAATTTGTATTGCTGCTTATTATCTCACAGTGACTCAAGCCACTTACAGAAAATAAAAGCACAATATAAAAGAAATAAAAATAATAAAATAATAACCCCCACCTCAAGTAACAAGCTTGTATAGCTTCTTACTTAGTCTTTTCTATAATACACAGGGGGAAAAAGTAGGATGGTTTCCTAACCTGCACCTGTAAATGTCATAGTGATCATCTTACATTCACCCCCTCCCTCATTCCTTGGCAAAAGCTCTTTTCAAAATCAATTAATCAAGAGATCGTTACAGCATTGCAGGGTTGTAGCAAAATTGAAAAAAATATGGCATGTGTTGACACTCTTTCTTTCATAAAATTATGAAAGTGCAGGAATCCTGTTTTCCTTCCACAAAGTTTTCTTCCAACATAAAATACTATATTATATGTTTTCTCATTCTATTACAAAAGATATATGTATCATTTCACTGACACTATATGTCAGAATAACATTCTTCTAAGTAAATAAATGCATTTTCACATGAAATAATGAAATGATATTATTTTATATATTGTATAGGGATAGACATTACAGCAGTTGTCTTACGCTTTGCTCAAGAAATAAAAAAAAGTACACAAAATGTGCAAATGCTATCTCTGGGACGTGGCCAAGGCAGCAAAGCAGAGGAATTAATATATAAGGCACAAATACTAGATGAACAGTGGGCATTCCTTCAGAACTGCCATCTTGCAACTTCATTTATGCCGAGATTGTGCAAAATTGTTGATTCGTAAGCACTTTTTACAATTATTTGTATACGTGATTTATTCTCTGATGATAAGGAACCAGAATAGGCTAATTTTAATACTGTTCGGTTCTTGTTAGTTAATCAGCTTGTTTTTTCCTGGAGACATTTCATTATCAGACTAAGTAACATTATTATGTGAAAGAGTAGAATTTGCTGACTGTTTATATATAGTAACTTGCACTACTAGCCTTGGCGGGAATGTGACTCCCAGTTGAAACTGTGATTGAGCCTCTCCTTGTGTTGCAAGGTTAGGTTTTTATCATCTCTTTTGATTAGTGTTCATGGAAATAGGTAGTCGTAATTACAGCCCTTACGTTGTATGTTATAGGTGATTCCACTTCTTGCTGCTGCTGGGTCTTTTGATTTGCTCAAAATGTTTTACAGAGATTTGCCATCATTTCCTCTACTGATGAAGATATCCAAAAACAATAGTGTTTTGTAATCTATAGAAAGGTATATCAAAAACATCTCTGAAATAAACAACACACTGCTACAACTATACAGCAACAACAAATCTCTCCAAAATATCTTAGTAAAATAAAAGACTGATCCATGTTACTTAGCTTGGTAAGGAAACATCTGCAAGAAAACAACCAAGCTCACAGAGCACCAAGAATCCAACAGTCCAAACTTGAGCTACATGTATTCCCCTCTACTACAATCTTAATGTGCATTATTTATTTTTTTTGCAAAAAAAATGGAATATTAGGCGACTCTTGCTAAAACCTGTTGCTGCACAAGAGGCCTTTATCTGAATGACACAGTGCCAACCTGCATCTTTCTCAGTCACATATTCACTTGTTGGCCATTTTGTATCCAATTTAAGGAAAGGATTGTGGTAGATAAACAAAAAGAGAATGATTCAAGAGTGGCTGACAATAAGAGCAATCTCATTTTTTAGACATTTATTTATAACATCTTTCTGGAGTGCTACATTCTGCCAGAAATTACCTCATTCCAATGTCCTCTAAATTCCATTAGCATTCATTTTGATACTTTAAAGTGACCAATACAGCAATAATTTTGCTGCTGGGACCATAGACATCAACATTATTGCTGATAACCATAATACCCTTATAGTTTCTCCGGACAGTTTTATTACCTGACCATATGATTATGTTAAGAAAACCAATGCTATTTGCTTTTTGAGAATTGGCCCTAAAAGACTAGGTTTTAAGTATTAAACAACTGATTTTGAAATCCATCTGTACTGACTTGAACATAAGTAGCAGAGACATGTGCAATTGTGCATTTTTAAAAAAAAAAAAAAAAAAACAATCCATTTTGCTGTCAGCTGCACCATGAAAATTTCACCAGTGATGGGATTCACCCGGTTCGCACCACTTCGGCAGAACTGGTAGCTATTTTTTTGTTGCCCAGGCCCAGAATGGACTTCCAGAAGCAGCATCCACACAGAGTACCGATTGTTCACATATTTGAATCCCACCATTGAATTTCACTCTGCAGATTTTAAGTAAATTATTTGAGAAATTTGCTTATCTGTTTAGGGACAATTGTGGTTATAATTACCTTTGAAAATGTACAAAATGTCTTTTTCTTTTTAAAAAACAAAAATCGCCTGTGTCCTTGTAAACTCTGGAAAGGCCACCCCTAGCTTGCAGTATTTTCCAAAATGAGCATGTAGGAGGAAGGCCGTTTTAGTCTATGCTAGAAAACTCATGACCCTGGTAGCAGCTTTTCTAATTAACCCATTTTATTAAAGACTTAAGCTTTCATGTACATTTCTTTAGATGTATACAGTAGCTAGACTGATGTAGGATTTAAATGGGGGGTGAAACAGGTGGGAAAGGATGGGAGGGGAAGACATAACTGATGCGGGTCTGTATCGATTATCCTGATAGATTGAAATGCTCTGATACTACTTTATTTTTATTTTAAGTTCTGATGTTGAAGTTGTGCCAATTAATTCTTTTGAGCAACGTTTGTCATACATAAAATACAAAGTGGCATTGCTGGTAAATGATGACATGCATCACGTCAGAGAAAGAGCATGTGAAGGGACCTCTGATCTAGTGTGTGTGTTTGTTGGGTTCTGTGATGATATTGTTTATATAGATAAGGGGGCAAAATAAACATTTGGTTCCATATTACTTGTTGCATATGCCCTTCAGGATTCTAGGTAGGATAAATGGGAAATGTTTGTCAAAAAAGTGCTCCTAATAGAAAAACCATGCATCTCAGGATGTGCTGCAAATAAACCATGGCCTTTTTCAAGTGCTTCACACTCTGTTCTAAGTAAACAGGACATTTTGTTGTGAAATGATAAGAAATGGAAAAGCAAAAGCTGAGGCTTTTTTGCTCATTTTCACAAACGAGATCAGATTTCTTTCTGGGTAATAGTAAATCTAAAAGCTAAAATTCCTACTATCTTCTGTACTGCTACAGATACAGTAGAGAAGAAACCCACATCTGAACTCAGCAGATTCTGTGGCAAAATCTTTTAATATCTTTAAATAATAACTTATAAAGAGACAATGAAATATCTATGCCTAGATGTATTAATGTGGGACAGCATTAACATTAACATTATTTGTCTATGGAGATTCTCAGTCATCAAGGTCATGGTTGTCCCAAAGGTGCTTTTCAGAAGACAATTGGACTTCCTTGTTTTTTTCCTTGATGATATTTTGATTCTCATCTAAGAAGCTTCTTCATTTCTGACTGAATGGTGGGGAATGGAAGGATTCATATTTTTTTTCCTTGTAGTCATCTAGTCACTAGCATTCTGAAGGTCAGTCATTGAAGCCATTTGAGCATTTTTCTGTACCCCAGGGTCAATTGAATCAGAGTGCAAATGGATGTGGAACCTTGCTGGAATTTTCAGCAGTTCCAAGAAGGCTCCAACCCATATGCACTTGATTCAGGTGACCCCCAAGTGGCTTCAACAACTGACCTTCAGAGTACTAATAATCAGATGACTGCAGAGAAAAAAATATGAATCCTTTCATTCCCTAAACTGAACTGAAGAAGCTGTTTAGATGAGAAAGAAACTTCTTCAAAGAAAAAAAACAAAGTCCAGTTGCCTTTTGAAAAGTACCTTTGTGGTTAACCTCATTTCTTGTTATTTTTATGCATTTTTTTGTAAAGTAGAATTGATGAATAGGTACTGTAATGTTGTATCATGTTTTAAGTAGTAAAATTGTTATAAAAATGATTACTTCCATAGCTTTATCCTACCTGATGCAAATATAAATCCAGGATTTAGACTATGGTTAAGTTCGACACCAGATACTTCTTTACCCATACCTATCTTGAGAAGAGGGCTAAAGGTAAGAGATATTATTCAATAGTTCTTATAATTACTAATTCAGAGCATTGTTTTTTACAAAGAAAAAAAAATAAGCTAATATGAGTTGAGCAATGGTAAATAAGTTAACTGTTAATGAAAAAGTACAGTTACATACAGAATAATGTATATAACCAAACATTGCAGACTCCTGTTGCTTTAAGAGAAAACTGGATGTTTCTGCTGGCATCCAGGTGAATGAAAATAAATTGACTTTAGCAAAACTGAAGTAGAAAGCAAATAAGGTGACCTTGTCAGACATACAAAGGAACTATTGCCAAGGCTAAGGGGAATGAAGTCCAGAAGAGACAGCATTCAAAAGCATCTCCAGCAGACACCTCTCTAATTCACTGAACTATAAGAAAAAGGAGGTACAATACAACTGGATTTAAATTTGTTTTTGCTATTATAGAAAAGCTCAATAAAAGTTGTTTGTGTGTTTGTTTTATTGTTAAATTTACTGCAGAATATTTACTTATAATCTGTTTGTTTCTCCAAGATAGTAATAGAAACTCCGCAAGGACTAAAAGGAACATTACTTCAAACTTTTGGATTTGGTGACACTGGTGTAGTAACAGAAGCTATATTTAATAAGACCAACTGTGGGCCATCATGGAAAAGATTGTTGTTTAGCCTATGTTTCTTCAATGCTGTCATTCATGAAAGAAAGAAATACGGAGTTTTGGGCTGGAACATTCCATATGCATTTAATTCTTCAGATTTAGAGGCAAGAGAAAATGTCATATAAAATTATATTTGAAAATTAAAACATATTTTTGCTGGACTATGGGTCCTCTTTCAATAATGGCTGGAAACTCATCAAAGAGAGAAGCAACCTGGAATTAAGGAGAAAGTTCCTAACAGTGAGGACAATTAACCAGTGAAACAGCTTGCCTTCAAAAATTGTGGGCACTCCATCACTGAAGGTTTTTAAGAAGAGACTGGACAGTCACTTCTCTGAAATGGTATAGGTTCTCCTGCTTGAGCAGGGGGCTAGACTAGAAGATCTCCAAAGTCCCTTCCAGATTCTATTCTATTCTATTCTATTCTATTCTATTCTATTCTATTCTATTCTATTCTATTCTATTACTATATTCAGTTTTCCCCCCTAATCCATTAATTCACAGTAACATCCTAATATACTTTTCTTTGCCTGATTTAATATATTTTGTATTTAACTTTAAACTGTGAGGTTGGAAGCAGTATTTTTTTATTATTTCTAGGTTTGTAATTAGGAGAATTACATAGAATTATAAAAAATAGTTGCAATAATGATTTCCAGGCTATCAATAACCCCTTCAATGCCCTAGATAAGGAAATCACATTCTAGATAATTTTGATACATAAATTATCTTCTCTGTCAAAGATCTAGTCTCCTCCTCCTCCCTAAACATACCTAGGTCTTTTAACCATTCCTAATAGGACTTAGTTCCAGACTTTTCTCCATCTTGGTAGCCATGCTCTGAACTTGCTCCAGTTTATTAATGTCTTCTTTAAACAGATGTATGCAAAACTAAGCATAATATTACAAGTGAGTTCTGATCAAAGTATAGAGTACAGTAAGATTACTTTATGTATATCTGGACTCTGTGTTCCTAGTTGATCCACTAGTCTACACAAATCCTGTGCTGTTCTTCAGCTAGATTTTCCCCATTTTTTAAAAAAAAATTTTTATCTAGGTGCATAACTTTAGATTTCTCCCTATGAAATTTCAATAAATTTCTTTTTTGCCTGCTGTTCTAGCTTTTTTGAATTTGCCCACCATACTAGGTTTTTTAAAAATATTTTCCCTCTACTCCCAGATATTAGCTACCCCTCCTATCTTTGCATCATATGCAGATTTGGTGAGCATTCCCTCAACACCCTCATCCATATTAATTATAAAAATGTTGAATCAGGCCCAGGACAGAGACTTGTGGCACCCCACTGAAGATTTCTCTCCACATAGATTTGATTCCACTTTGAGCACAATCATTGAGCCATCTGTGGATCTTCCTAACTATTGATTAACCATTTGAGCATTTTATTAATAAGGATACTATGAGAGATTTTGTTGAAGACTTTTCTGAAATCAAGGTTACCATGTCTACCAGGCTCATAATCATAATCATGAAATAATAACTTTTTTAAATAATATTTTTATCAAAGGTTTTAACTACAATAATAAAAGGTGATAGAAACTTAAAAGAAAAATACAGAGAATAAAAGGTGCAAAAAAGAAAAAAAATAACAAGAACAAGAAAAGAAAAACAAACTAAGAAACTTCTTGCCCTCATCTTGACAAGTGTGAATAGTTTCACTATCTCGTCTCTTCTTAATTAAGAGATATAAAACTCTTCATTCCATAACTTAAGTATAGGCAAGTTCAATGGACAGTGTCTTTTCCAATTCAGGTTTCAGAAAAGTGTAAACAAAACTTTGCACTTGTTTAAAATCATTTTTAAAGTCTTAATATTCAAAATCAAATATTCTAATGTTTACTGAATCCATTTAAAACTTTCCATGTACAAAACCTTCTCTTACTTTTTGCTGTTTATTTTGAATTCTTAAATGTTATGAAGATACAACTTCATTTTCTTATGTCAGCCTTGTCATTGTCTAACTTGTTTAAAGCAGTTAATGGCAATTTCCAAAAGTTTAGGAAAGGAGTTATAAAATTAGTGTCCTTTAAAAGTTCTGTGTCTGGAATAAGTATGGCAATTTCCCTCATCCCTTGGTTCCTGGCAGTCTCCTCATGTGGAGCAACCATATGGCGTACAATATGGGCAATATCTCATCCTCTCATTTTCTAGAGAGGGTCAAAGGAGCCAATCATTCATTGGCACCTTGTTCTTAGCCACAGTTGTCAGTTCTGCTTTTTGTGGAGCGGTCTTCAGTCCATTATTTCTTCCCCAGAAGTCTCCTATCATAAAATAAAATCAAGTTACTCTAGCATGATATAAATTCAGTATAAATTCAGGTTGGCTCTTTTTAATTAATGAATTCTTTTACCTAATGCTCTTTTTTATCTGCCCTTTTTTATATAAGAATAAGTCTAAACGTCCAGCAATGCTTAAGACATTTTGATTTTTTTTCTTTCTAGATATCACACTTTTATTTCTAATTATTAATTGGTTTGGAAATATTACTAAGTTTCAAAAATGATTCCTCAGAGTATCAATGAAAGTTCTGTGCATGAGCCTCATGAATCCAATTAATCAACTAATTATAGATTCTTTAAATTCCAGACCTTGCCTCCAGATTTTATTTTTTTTTTTAATTTCTAATGGTAACTTTTCTTTTCCAGTTTTCTATCAAAATATTGGAAGTGCTCCTTGAGAAGCATCAAAAGATTCCTTGGACAGCATTGCATTATTTGACTGGAGAAGTAACATATGGAGGCCATGTAACTGATAACTGGGATCGTCGATGCTTGCTTTGCATTTTAGATAATTTTTATAATCCTTCCGTATTGGAAGAAGATTTTGTTTATACTGCTGATGAGGTACGAGAACTATTCTTCATTATGTTTCTGTTTTAATATCACAACTGAGTGAGCAGGGTAGGTTTACTCAATATATCTGATCAGTTTTAAATGCTAATTTGAAGTGAAGAAGCGGAAAGATGGTTGTATTAATAAAATAATATAGGCAAACTATATGTTGTATTTAAATGGCCAGAGACATTAAAGCATTTAACAATATTTTTTTCAGGTGTATCAACCAATATCTGAATTAGATAGTTTAAAAGACTGCAGAGCCTATCTACAATCTCTTCCAGAAGTGGATTCTCCGGAACTTTTTGGAATGCATCATTGTGCTGAAAGACAATACTTAAAAGCTCAGGCAGAATTATTTATTAATTCAGTTGTCAGTACCCAACCAACATATAGCACAGACATTATCAGGTTATTATTTGAAGTCTCCTCCTCCTCCTCCTCCTCCTCCTCCTCCTCCTCCTCCTGCAATACAACATAAGCTGAAACAAATAATAGTTGCTTAAAGCCTAAAGTATCAGTATGTATGTATATATGTATGTATGTGTCAAGGGACATACGGAAATTTTTATTGAACTTTTTTGAGCCTTGGGAGCTACCTGCTTTTCTCTATTGTACTGTGGGGAATAAATATTTGTTTTCCAGCTGCTTACAGCAATGGGAAAATACCACATTAAATAAGCTTGCTGGCAGGAGAGAAAACAATTTCTGTTAATGGGTAAAACAGATAGAACCAGTAACTTCAGCACTCCGTAATGTGCCACAGAATCATTGAAACGGTGAAAAGTTCTCTTTCTTCCAATGACCTTTTGGACAATGGACAAAATGAATATATAGGGATTTTTTTTAGGTATAGTCTCATCAAATGTAAACGTTAAAGATTATGTGCTGGTATTTGTAAATAAGTATGTGTGCATGAAAGAGGGGGGAGAGAGACAGAATGCCCATATGTTGGCTATCGGTTAAATGTGATGGTTTGCATTTGATTATATACATCAAAGTATCAAAGACTGTATTTTCATTCAAAGTGGTTGGGTTGTCTTCATTCAAAATGTTAACAATCCCCAAATTGTGGCTATGTGCTGTGACATATTTACCAAGTAAACAAATCCAGAAAGAAGTCTAACAACATCTTTTTAACAGAAAAAATGGTGAGGAATAAATGAAAAACAGGTAGTCCTTGACTTATGACCACAATTGAACCCAACATTTCTGTTGTTAAGAGAGAGATTTGTTGAGTATTGCCCCATTTTATAACCTTTCTTGCCACAGTTGGTAAGTGAATCACTGTAGCTGATAAGTTAGTAGCCTGGTTGTTAAGTGAATCTAGCTTCCCCATTAATTTTGTTGTCAGAAGGTCACAAAAGGTGATCACATGACCCTAGGACATAGCAATGGTCATAAATATGAACCAGTTGCCAAGCATCTGAATTTTGATCATCATGAGGATGCTGCAAAGGTCGTAACTGTGAAAAACGGTCATAAGTAACATTTTTTGTGCCGTTGTAACTTTGAATGGTCACTAAACGAACTGTTGTAAGCTGAGGACTACTTGTATAAATAGTGGGATATTAACTTGGTTATTTCCCATAGATAATTTTAAATCTACTTTTCATCTTCCTATTGTCTTAGTGATAGAATGGGTCAGGATGAAATAGTACTGGAAATAGCATCTGATATTCTAATAAAGCTACCATTGACTGTAGAGAATATGGGAGGGGCATCTAACAACGAACATGTGTCTACGGAAATTATAACCCTTAGAAGTTTCATGTCTGGACCAATTTGGGCTGCACTTGCAAAAGCTACAGAAGGTCAGAACTTCATTTCATGGAATTTTCATATTATGTTTTCATTTGTTTATATATAGAGAAAATGATATCTATGCATATACACTTGCATATTATTATATAGTAGTTATACATTTGTACGCAAAGAGAGACACAAACAATTTATGTTCATGCATGTATGTATATGTATAATTACTAGCCTAAATCAATCCATTACAGCAAGGGTCCTCAACCTTGGCCACTTTAAGACTTGTGGACTTCAACTCCCAGAATTCCTCAGCCAGCTTTGCTGGCTGAGGAATTCTGGGAATTGAAGTCCACAAGTCTTAAAGTGGCCAAGGTTGAGGACCCTTGCATTACAGGATAAAAGCTTTTTTGTTGAATGTTCTATATCACAAACTATTTTTCAGGCCAGCCACAATGCAGATTATTAGATATATACCCACACTAGACAGCATGCAGTTCACAACCTTCAATAAAGGTTTGTGATCTTCAGTAAAGAGGTCTTCATTCTACAATGGCTTATTTGAACAGTTAATGATAAATAGACAAATATGTCTATGTGTGTATGTTTGCACATTTGTGTGCTTGTATGTTATTAACAATTATTGCAATAATGAGGAACAAAATAAATAGTAATTAAAATGTAAAACTTTGTGAAGCATTATGCATACAGTGGGGAACTTATAATTCTCTGCATCTTTCACCTTTTCCTAAATTGATTGATTATGATGTAAAGATTTAAAGGCATGAGAGTTATTTTTCCTAACTGATAAAATGAAGAGCAATTACTAAAACAATGACCACATATATTATCCTGCATTCCCAGAAGAAGCGAGTATATTCAAAAGGCAGGAGAAAATGGGTAATTTTGCTACCATATATTGCCTACCTACTATACAGATTATTCTTATTTGGAAGTAGCATACTTGCTGGAATTTCTACAATGTGACCTTAGCCTCATTAACCAGTTCTCTCTCTCTTCTTTCACAATAGATTTTTATTCTATTACCAATTCACCTTTGCTACCTGTTTTGCGCCAGGAGATTGACCATTGTAATAATTTACTATACTTAATAATTCAGTCATTACAAGAACTTCAGCAAGGAATCAAAGGAAAAATTATCTTCACTAAAAGATTAGAAGACCTTTATAATTCAATATTGAAAGGCATAGTAGCTGATTTGTGGGAGGTGTGTGAACAATCTCTTATTTTACTTTTGCTAAATAATAATAATAATGGATTTGATAGCTGGACAGAAATGCAATCTAAATATCTGGCTGACTGGGTGACAAACCATAGTAATTTATTAAACTTGTATGCTACCTGACTCTCAATGATTCTAAGACAATCAAACCAAGGAATTTCAATAAAATCAATAAAACATAAAGGATAAAACTAAAATATAGCAAGGACGATGAAGCTTAGAAATACAAATGGAATTACAAAATTACAAATACAAAACATGTTTATGTTTTCTGGTTGGAGTAAATAGATTTGCATTTTTATGCTTCAAATAAGTATATACATATATATATATATAGATATTTACATATATATTTATATACACACACAGAGAAACACACACACATACATTTATGTGTGTATATTAGACTTCTTATCTTTCTGTTTATGTGAAATTGATTCTATAGAATTTTTTTTTAAACAATAGCTACTAATTAGTTTTAAGAAAATTCTACTCCAAAAATGCACATGATATCTAGTAAATTATATATAATTGCTGTGGATATATTACTGTAGATCAAAAAAATAATGGATATGCTGAAATATTCATGTACATATTTGAATTCTAATTTATACATGATAAGAAAGTTATAAACTATTGGGGGAAGTTGTGAAGTATTTATCTGACTCTTATTTCAAAATGCATAAGAAGAATTAGATCTGGTTGGAACATGTATAAAAGACCACTAGGAAATTCCAAGATAGACTGGTAAACTAAATCAAATCATGAAAGAAGCTAATAGCAAATCACAAAACAACATCCAATCACCCACCAGTTTAGCCTTACAAAAATCACAAAACCAGCACAAGATAAAATAACAATGATGGCAAATAAATAAATAAACCCAGAGAGGAATCGATAGGAAGAAAGGGGCATCAATTGTCTTCTCCAAAGGCCTTGGAGAAAGTTTAATGCCTTTTAAAATATCAATAGAGTGGAAATCATTTGAATTTTGGGGAGAATCTCATTCCAGATGGTGGGCATTACTACAAAGAACCCCATTTTAGGGGTCCCAATATGTGGCTTTGTTTAACTGATGGAACCTGAAGCATGCCAATCCTGCCAGGTGGATTGTGAGGCAGATACAACGGGAAACATTGTAACTAGGCCCTGTGCCATGTGGCCCTTTATAGCTAACAACAGTCCAGTAGCAAACTGGCAACCACTTCAACTTGCAAAGTTAATTTTCAGTTAGAGCTCATTAGATTGTTATGTTCAGTTGCTTTATCATGGCTGCTATTTATATATTTTATTTTTGTTGTTGGTTGTATTTTTAATTTTCCGGTAACTACCTGGAAAAACAATGGTGAGATGGATGGCCATATAAAATGAATGATGAAATAAAATTAAAAAAATTCCTAAAAATTATTCAAAATCATAGAGTCTTCCTGTGCTCAGTTTAACATGAGTATCAACCATAAATTAATAATGTCATCTGATTCAATGATGTGTGTTTGTCTGTTATTGAAGTGGAATAATTTGCTATTGATGCTCTATGTCATGTTTGCATATTAATGTACTTTTTGAAAAAATGCAAGTACACTTTATCTTTTGTTCCATTCTTTTGTAAATCTGTACAGCAAAGTTCTTTTAAGACAAATAAACCTTTAGGATCCTGGATTGATGATCTCATTATACAAGTGAATTTCTTTGCCATGTGGGCTGATCGAATTATCACCTTTATGCAAGCAAGGTAATATAAACAACAATATAAACTCAACTTTGGGTATCAGTGTCAAAGACATTATAGTTACTTAAAATGAAGATGATTTTCTTCCCTCCAAAATTCATTACCTTGAAGTGGATGGGATAGTCATATACAAATAGACAGAAAGAATTGCTGAAAGGAAAAAAAAAAATCTAATGACTATTTCAAAAGGAGGTATTTCAGCTTCTCCACAATGAAAGTGAGGGAGTCCAAGGATGCTGAATCTCATTTTCTATTATTTTGAATTCTCACTCCAAGTGAAACAGAAGCAACTTCTCCTCCTGCACTCCTAACATTGCCAGTCATTTCCCTTTCCCTGTATATTTACTGTACACACTTTGCATTAGCTTCTTAGGTGCCATGGAGTCAGGTTCAGCCCTGATGGCTGTATGGACAAATGCTCATCATTGGGGGAAAGAGTTTTAAAAAACAATCACATAGAATCTGGATTGTAAAGGGCTATTTAGATCATCAAGAATAAACCCCACTCATTCCAAGAAAGGAAATTAAAGCATCACAGACATCTGCTTCAATACTGTACATTCACATCCTAAATAAAGATATTTTTTCTTCAATCAATCAATCAGAATAGCGCTGGAAGTTCTGAATTCTTGTTCTAAGTTATTCTAAATTCTATTTAAGTTCTTGAATTCTTTTATTTAAGTATCAGTCTTCAGGATTTTTTCTGCAAATACAATTCTTATTTTATATATTCTTTACCACTGTGTAAAATTGCCTGATAACATGAAGGCAAATTATATATACTCTAAGTTATAGTATTATGTATCTTTTCTGTTGGACTTTCCTATTTAAGTTAAAATCAGCATGACATAGTATTTGTTAACTACTTCTATGATTTTGCCTCAGGCAAATCAGTAACTTTATTGGGGAGGTGAAAATACTAAAAAAAAAAAAAAAGTCTACAGAATCCATAAACTTTTGTTGCATGCTTTCACATATAGTTCTCCTCTTTAGAAAACTATCTCGGCTGATTTTCAGTCATGGAGAGAGTTATTCCTTTGTTTTCTTCAAGGGCATCTTGCCTTTTAAATGGAAGCTATATTTCAAAAATAACAAAATGCATAGTAACTTCTTTTCTTTTCCAGTTACTTTGTTTCTTGATGTTATTGTTGCACTATTCTCTCTCTGCCTCTTCCTTCCCAGTACAGCACATCATTACCACCCTATTTATTTTCTTTTTCTTTGTTCTTTTTGGTGGAAGAAAAGAAACAAAGTTTATGAACTTTTATGTGAGAGGATGGTTTTTGTGTGTATATACAGAATGAGGGAACAATGAATTTAACACAGCGAATGGCCTGTTTTATAGATAATTAATTTTAATCATTAGTATTTTTTTTCTGTACCTGCCTTTTATTGAATTGTGATTCTAGCCAGTGACCATACACATACATATATATGTCTTATGCACACATTTATTATGGGAAAGTTTCAGCTAGAGTTAAAAGCTCTGTGTTGATGAGATCAGAAAGCTGATTGTTGTTGTTTTAACCATTCAGTCATGTTTGAGTCTTGGTGACTTTATAGGCAAGTGCTCTCCATGCTACCCTGTCAAACAATCTTCTTTCAGTTGTTGGATGTTCATCTTTGTATCAGATTTGATATTATCAAGCCACCATGTTCTTTGCTTGCCCCTTCTTGTTCCACTAACTGTTTCTGGCATCATTGATTTTTCCAATGAATTTGGGTGCCTGTCATGGCCAAAGTAAATAGATGTAGTCTTATGATTTTAGCTTCTAGTGATGCGTCTGGTTTAGCACATCTCTGTTAGTTACTCTGGATATCTATGGTATATGCAATAATTTACACCAGCACCACAGTTCAAAGGTGTCAATTCTTTAATCGGCTATTCTTAGTGTCCAACTCTTCCACCCTTATATTATTATAGGGGAGACTATTGCTTTAACTAGCTTGCTTTTTGCATTTATATCTGTATCTCTGCTTTTCTAGACCTTATTCATGTTAACCATTGCAGTGCAGCCTAAAGGTATCCTGTGTTTGATTTCAGGAGTAGAACTGTTAAGCTGGTAGTAAAATGTTATACAAAAATTGGCATTTGTAAAATGAATTTTCTATTCACGTCTATATTAGAATGTTCTATAAATTGGATGGCATTCTCAGGCATTTAGATCCTGCCCTTAATATGATAGAACCATAGATATTATCTTGATTACAGCAGCAGATTTTCTACCTTATCCAAGGCACAAGTGCCAATCTATAAGTCATGGCATTCTTTAAAAGCTGGTTGCAAGTTGTGTCATTTTAATCATTCCTTTTTCTCTAGTAATCAGCTTACCATTTTGGATGTTAAAATCCATGGATACATATAATATACTGTATATGTATGCTTTTAAATTGATTATATTAATTTTGCATTTAATTTTATAATTGGTTTCCATTTTTTTAATAGAACTCAATGAATGCATGCCACATATAATAAGAGAATTGATTCAGAGAATTGGGGTTTTTAATGATAGGCAGGTCATCACTTGAATCTTTACTTTCTCCATCTGGGATTTAATCTCTCTTTCTCTCTCTTCCTCCCTCCCTCCCTCCCTCCCTCCCTCCCTCCCTCTCTTTCGCACACACAAACACAAATATGCACACACCAGACACCAGCCTCACTCCTTTCAGCCATTACAGCGAGAGGTGGGTTGAAAATCCTAACAGTTGGACTGGAGGTTTTCTGAGCCTTCCACTCCAGGCTTTGAGATTATGAGCCACTTTGCAATGTAGGAATCAGTTGCATGTTGGTCTAGTTAAATGAGAAGGTCAATTTCTGAGAAACTGAAAACTCCATTGTCTCCCTAAAGAGCCAAAAATTGCTAGAAGAAAATATTACAGTTGAATTGTATCAAAATTACTGGATTATTTGATTACTACTTAGAGACATATAATAATACACTAATTTCAGTTAGCTACTGAAAAATGTAATATTCGTAAACCTACTAATGTTTTGAACAGGTTTAATGATTTATTGGTGCTTCAGAGACAAAGCAAAATACCACTTCATCTTGGTGAATATCCTGACTTTCATGCCAGTTATCAAGGACATCCTAGCTATTTTTGGCTTCCAGGTTTCTTTTTTCCACATGGTACATAATTTTGTTATTTATTTTATTCATAGACATTTATCCATTAACTATTTTAATTTTCACTAATTAAAATAGTTTGTAGTGCTAATAGCTTTTATATTACAAGTAGTCCTTGCCTAGTGACTACTCATTCAATATCTGTTCAAAGTTACAACAATGCTGAAAAAAGGAGACTTACAAAAAGTCGTTGCAGTTGCAGCTGCTGCAATGTCCCTCCAGCCATGTAGCAACTGACATGCAGTTACAACGTTCATAGCATTTCACAATGATGTAATCATCACTTGTAACTTTAACTGAGGCTTTGGACAAGCAAAGTCAATGAGAAGCTGGCAGGAATGTAATGAAGTACAAGTTGCCTTCACATGACATCATGCTTAATTACCACAACCAGAACTGCTGGAACTGTCTTCATAAGTTGGCCTGGTGACATGGTTTTTCACTTTTTTCGCTTAGTAAATGAATGATCAGTCTCAATTATGGTCATTAACTGAAGACTACTTGTATTTCATTACATTATAAAGAATATCTAGTGTCTAGATAGTCTAGAGCAGGGGTAGGCAACCGTGGCTCTTTTATGACTCGTGGACTTCAACTCCCAGAATTCCTGAGCCAGCTGGCTCAGGAATTCTGGGAGTTGAAGTCCACGAGTCATAAAAGAGCCACGGTTGCCTACCCCTGGTCTAGAGAATCCATTGAAAACTTCCACAGTATATTGTTTTCAAGTGTATTAGTGTGTTTAAAGGTTTATAAATTATGTCCTATGATAGATACAGTATATAAAATGTTCCAACTGAATTAATATAGATGTAGAGTTAGGATTTGCCTGTGATGCTCATATGATATAATCTGGATTACAATATGATATATCCCAGATAATGCTGATATTACTGCTTCTCTTTTTCCATGTTTTTCTTGATCTCCCTCACTTCCACTTCAGTTTTTCTCGACCACATACCTTCTGCAAATGTGTTCTGAAGTGGGGAGGCTATCATTAAAGATGAGGGAAATCTTGTGTACTTTGTAATTCTCTGTATTAATAATTTGAGGAGTAACTGAACAAAAAATTACATTTTGTTTATTTATATTTCATATTTCTTAACCACTCATCTTGTACATCAAATAACAAATTCATTCACTCTTTGCAAAGAATAAAATGATCTGCACATAATTAAAAAGTAAATTTAATTAACTTTTTAAGATTGGTAACAAATAAAGTGCACAATCTGTGTATTTTGTTCTTGAAGGATTTCTTATTGCTGTGTGTCAGAATTATGCTCGGTTGAATAAAGTAACAGTGGATTCACTTAGTTTTACACATAAAGTGCTTCCATTAACTCAAGATGAAGAGTTAAGTTTCAATAGAAAAGAAAATATATTAAACAAAGCCTTTAAGGTAAGAATGTGATTAAATCCAGTTTAAATAGGACTTTGGTGATTTTTTTTCTTAGTTTCATCTTCATCTTACATTTTCTATTTCCTACCATGGGATGAATGGCCTTCCAAAGTTTATTATAAATTGTAGTTTGGGATTATCATAATTTTATACTTGTGTCCAAGCATCCGATATAATTTGTTAAGTCTTGAAAGGTGGTGCTATCCAGATTATTTTCTCCATGTGCTGTAACAAATTCCCATTGGTAAGTAGAGAGTTTTATAAGATATTATCACTTTGCCTGGAGATGAGGAGATTAACATTTAAATTTCCTTTCCCGTGGGAAACAGTTTTCAACAGATGACCAAACTCATGCTCTGTCTTCCTCCATGAAGGAGGTTCATTTTTCAAAAGAGCAAAGCTTCTACTTCCCAGGTTTGCCTATGCATGCCAGCTGAGCATGACCTTTGTTCTGGTTTAACAGTTGAAGATATGGAATATTTTTTGATATGTAGTCAAAATTCAGGTATCCATACAACCATCATGTATGGTAGTTGTATATATGCCTAAATTTTGGCTACATATCAAAAGTGCATATAAATGCTACAATTGAAAAACATCTGGAATATATTTATGAAATCATGTAGGAAGAAATCAGATAAAGATATTGCAATGAAAATTATAAGCAGGTAAGCTCAGATAGGAAACGGATTTAGTATACCATTTCTCTAAAGCAAATCATCTTTTTTATGAAGTAATATGATTTATCTTAAATGGGCTCTATGGCCTTTATTTACGTATTTATTTATTACTGGGATTTATATGACCACCTACTTAACACACAACTCTGTGGCATGCAATAGCTGCAGCAAGTAAATCCTCAAAAGGTTTAAGTTTCTCCAGGCTGGCTATGCTGCAGGTCTCCTGTTTGCATCATGTCATCTGTCCTGACCTTTTCAATGGCAGCACCCACCCTTTGAAATGATTCCTCTCCCTACAGCCAGGATTTGATCGGTCCCAACTCTGCTAGCTTATTAAAATCCTGGCTTTTCCTTTGGGGATTTGGATCAGGATGTGTTTGATGACCAGAAGATATGTTTTGTTTTTATCCTTTTTATTGTTGTTTTTATTTTAATTGCCCGTGCTCACTCTGATGAGTTATGGAAGCCATACAAATTGGAAAAATAAATAAGCAAAGTGTTTTTGCATTTTTTTCTGCAATAAGATAAGCAAGCCTGCAAAAGGGACAGATAGTCCTCAAGTAACAAGTATCTTCCCCCCTGTGATGATCTAACAGCATCTAAAGTTAATATATATGTGTGTCTTTTCATCAGGGAAAGGGGAAAGTATCTATCCTAATTTTTCTGACATCATCTCCATGATGATGAGGAGGGAGGAGGGGACTGTGAAATGCTAAGATAGCATCTGTGGCCATGTTCCCTATTTTGCATCACTGCAGATGCCCCTGTAATTCCTGTGCAATGAGCTTAGTTATCTTCACTTTTAGCTCTCTAAAAAGGACAAGGGTTTATTTTTTTGGTTAAATCTTCCACTCTTTTGGAGCAATCCACATCAATACTGAGTACAAATATCATCTATCTTTTAGGAAGATTCTCAATATGAAACTGGAGTTAAAATTTATGGCTTATACATAGATGGTGCATGCTGGAATCTCAGTACACAGGCATTGGATGAACCTGAACTTCATAGAAGATTTTATCCATTACCAGACATCCAATTTTTACCACAAAGTGTAAGTAGTATAGTTTCACTATCTTGGTAGGACATTTTTCTATTTTGATTACTCAGGTTTAAGAAAATGTTATAAGTTACTGCATTATTATAATGTAGCACGTACTTGAAGAAGTATGTTTTAAACAAGTGGGAATGTTGCTGTTTGGAATTATATTCAGCCAACTGCTTTCTCCTCTAAAATATTTCATTACTGTTTTTTTCTACCATCCTGTTTTCTTTACCTATACACACTCAAATAACCTGACCAATTATGCTGCTTTGAGCTGTTTTGGAATTTTGCCCCTTTTGTTTTAATTAAAATGACATATTTTGCATAAATTATTTCCAGCCATGCGCTAGGATGTCATAGTTATCTTTGTTCAGTAGCACAAATATATCTATATTTGAATTCTGGAATGAAGAGGTAAAAGTGGTTTTGTGGTTATGGGATGTGGGGGCAAGATAGAAGTCCTTCCAGGTATCCATGGTGCTTATTATCTTATTCTTTTTTAGCCTGCAAATGCACTCTTATCTTTATTTTTTTTCTTATACTCTTAAAGTATTGATTTGATTCAAAAGCTGAAGTAACCTCAGCATCAGATTTTGCTGATATTTAAATTAACATGACAGTTGTTTTAAGTAGATTTAGAGGTAGCTCTATCTTTTTTTCCTAAATTGTAAAATATTCTGGTATCAAGTATCTTCAATTCCTGAAGTAAATGCCTATTACCAGTATCTGTAAGATAGATTAGTGTAATCTTTTACAAAAAAATTCTGTCACTATCCCAATGTTTTCTTACTTAAGAATCATGCAAGAAATTTATGGCTCTGATTCCTATATTTTTCACCTTCTTTAATCTTGACTTTGCTATGGTATTACCAATAAATGGAATTGTAAGTTGTCTTCTGTCAGATTAACTTTTGATTTCTTCCTGGCTTTCATTTCACTGGCCTGCTGTTACCAATTCTTTTTTTTTTTTTAATTTCCTACATTTCATTCATTAATATCCTCATCATGAATATGTGGATATTATCACACATTAACTCTACTAAGCCTTCAGTTTTCAACTGTTAACCTCTGTTCCATTAATCAAGCACATCAAATATAAATTAACTTGACTTGGGGGAGGAGGGTTACCTCAACTGCTGCTCTCTTCATCTTTTACTGTCACCATAATATGGCTATGTAAAAATGTCTCAGCTTGAAACCTCAGCACCAGAGAAGCCTGTTCCCTAATTTACAGAAGCAATTTTATAAAAGCAAGGTTTTACAGGGGTGGTAGTGTTATTTGAAGCACTGAAGTTATGATTTATTCAGGGACACCAAAAATTAAATTTAGCTTTGAGTAAGAAGGAAAGCTATCTAGAGTTTTCCAGACCATAGGAGAACAGCTTCTTTTCTCATGAAAACAATGCCAAAGGTGTGTGTGTGTGTGGGGGGGGGTGATAAGCAGCCTGAAGACATAATAATAATAGAACAGAATAGAACAGAATAACAAGAGTTAGAAGGAACCTTGGAGGTCTTCTAGTTCAACCCCCTGCTCAGGCAGGAAACCCTATACCATTTCAGACAATGGTGTGAACAAATTCATCCAATAAGGGTTCTATCTGCACCCTGCCTCAAAGTCTAGGAGACTATCCACATTTACAATAGCTTCTGGATTTCTGGAGGGGACATTATTCCAGGTCAGGCCCTGCAATTTAAAAAAAGGCACTCTTTCTGGGCCCTGTTCATTATTGGGACTTGTAACATCTCTATTCTGCCAAATCATAGATGGACAGAAGCAGCCAGAAACAGTGCTATCCCATAAAGAGCTTTATAAATGATAAACATCATCTTGGATTGCTGAGAAGCTTATCCATAACCACTGCATCTCATGGAACAGTGTGGTCACATAGGCATTTGGCACTCTCCATGCTGCCATATTCGGAACTAGCTATAGCTTCTGAATATTTTGAGAGCAGTCTCATGTAGAGTACATGACAGACATCCATTGTGATATTACTAAGGTGTGAATGACTATTTGATGCCATGCTGTGTTGGACCTAATATTTTTATGTTTTATACTATTCTGTGTTTTGGAAGAATTATACTTGGTATAACAATTGCTTTTTAAAATATATTTGTGATGGAGCATCAACTGATTTACAGGTTGTCCAAACAAAGTTCTTGCAAAGACCTAAAATTTGAGCCCCACCTCTCAATGAGCACTATGTATTTAAATTGTTCCTTTATTATAACAACACGTGCTGGTCCCAGATTCTTTACTGGTCCTCAGGCATACAACTTATTTAATATGTAGAAATTGCACTTATTAATGTTTTAATTTAATTATTTTTAGATAACCTTTTGGCCAAGTCACTGTGATGAAGAAGGCCGGCTCTTATATGAATGTCCTTTATACAAGACACCTCAAAGAACAGGAATGCTGTCTTCTACGGGTGCATCTATAAATTTTATAACTGCAGTTAATCTGCCAAGTCTGGTAACTCCTAGCCACTGGATAATGAGAGGAGTTGCACTGTTATGCCAACTGGATGATTAAGAAATAAAAAATATTATTGTCCCTCATTTGAAATGAATACTTCACTGTTTCAGTCTAGGATCAGATACAACCTAGTTTTAATTGTTTAATGTTTTAGATTAATAATAAAGTTGTTTCCCATGCAATATGTGCAAATTCAAATTTATATTATGGTTTTGTTTTTTGCCTTTAGTCAATCATTATAAATTACATGAGAATAGGCAGTGATCAAAGATGGCACATGATAAATCTAGCCTCTGGATTATACATTGCCTCTGGTAATGTGCCTAGAGGCCTCTCCTTTTGCACTCAAGGGCTCTTAAATCCAGCTAGTTTTTGAAAAATTTTTTTTTTAAATTACTGGCATTTTGTCTAGAAATTTTTATTTCTAAGAATCTTCTGCATCCCAAATAGGTTCAATAACCCTAATAATGATGGATGGCTGCACCCTGGTGGATCTGGATAGCGCCTGGAATAATGTAAAATTTAAGCAAGGTTAAAAGCAGGTGACAGATAATTCTCTGGTACATTTGTGCTTCCAAATTGATTTCCCATGACTACTATTTTAGTAAATGAATGGATAAGCTGCTAGGAATAATTTTATATCAGGACTTGTATGTTTTCAAAATTCCATATATTCCTGCAAATCCAAAAATTAGGATTGCTATCCTAATACATATAATTTTATACCTGTTCCTATTTCAGCCTAATAAACCTTTTCTCTGGTATTTTTAAAATGTGTGCTTCAGTTTCCAAAGTTCTCACAAAAGGTCATGCTGGCTATAGATTCTAAATAGTTTAAGTCTGGGGGTTTAATTTTGGCTTAGCTAGTGTTATAATTTGTAAATCATGGTTTTGCCAAATTCTATGATTGACAGTGCTGTTTCTTAGCAAAAACATATTATTCATGTCAATTATGTCCCTAATCTTTCAGGTTTCCCAACAAAGCACCACCACCACTTTAACTGAATCCATCCACCCTGCTGCTGGTGGTCTTTTTTCCTTCCGTCTTTCCCAGCATTAAAGCCTTCTCTAGAGAGCTAGAGATTGTATCCAGAGAAGGACAATTTGAGCCTGGCCACTTGTACCTGAGTGAGAACTGTGGGTTGATTTTGATATCCGTTGGTTTGTTCTTGGCTGTCCATTATATTCTCAGGAATCTTCTCCAACACTGAGAGAAGAATGTCATTGCTTTTTCAAGTGATTCTAGGTAATCATCCCTTAAGTTATGTACTCACACTAGTTGATTTTATTCTCTCTCTTAATTCTGCAGGCTAACAGGATAATTGTATTGCTCCCAAGTGAGATATTGAGGAAAGCAAAACAACAGTAATTCCCATTCCAATGTCCTAGTCTAGCATGACTTATTTTTGGTAACTCATTATGGTTCCTGCCAAGCAGAAAAATTTCTAAGTTCACAAAAAGGAATCTAAAATATCCTTCTGTCTAGATTTCCCTGGCACTATAGATACCATCCATGATTTTATGAATATTGGAGTTTCAAGATAACTGCCAGATTTCTATTATTACCATCCTAACATAAATTCCTATAAGCAGATCCATCCAGTTTTTTTTCTCTTTTTACTGTTATCTGCAAAAAGCCTTTTTCACACCTTTTGTAAACAGGTATCTTTTTGTGCTATTGAAAAAGGAACGCAGCATTACAACTTCAGGAATGTTGAGTGATATTGAATTATGCAATGAACCCTTTGACACTGAACAGTCAGCCAATAATTTTTATCACATTCAGTTCTTACATTGGAGATCTTCTGAGATGGGAGAGCTAACACTGTAGGGATGGTAGAAATCTGTTTTGCAAACTAGCTTAAACATTTATTTTCTTAATGAGATGGTCGCAAGGCTATGCATGCAACCTTGTCTATTATGCTGCTCAAGCTAATTTGGCTCAACTGAGATTTGCCTTAATAAACAATTGTTGCTCCCTCAACCCATTACATCTTTGAGATTTTCCAGTTTTTCATTTCAGATTTCAAAGCCAAATCCTGAGAAACTGAGAAATTCCTACGGAATAGACTGCCCTTCCAAGATATGATACCTATCTTCTTTCGTATTGACTTAAACTTTCTAGGAAAGAATACAATTTTAGCAACCTTTTTTCCCTTATTAAGCAGTTTTATTACTTAAAATCATAATTTGAAATAGTTGAATGTTTTCAAATATTTGCAAATTATAGTTTGGTCCATAGTTCATTTCACTAGAGAAATTTTAAAGTTTTAAATTTTGTAAGACCATACCATAGTTTTCTTCACCTATTTCTTAACGGAGGAAAACATGGCCACTGGATTCTATGCCTTAAAAATTGGGCAAAAAATGAAGATGTGGTGATCTTGGCAAGGTAGTTATTTTCTCCAAATGACCTACATCTCCCTTGAAAACTATCTTCCTAATATCCCATCCTGATGCAACTCTTGAGAAGAATTGCTAGCTACTCCATCTCAAAAGAATGTCACTCCAGAAGACATATACCAAATTGTAGGCTTTAAGTGGCATTCTGTGAAGTACATGTCACAGAAGTATGCAAGGGGAGGGAAAAAAATTAAGGGAAAGCAGTTATTTTTATTCACTTTAACTTGGCTGAAATTTCACATAAAAGAGACTACACTGTCCAACTCTTGAAAATGTAGAAATAGTCAGTTGGCTAAAAAAAATATATCCAGGGTAATTCATTCCCTTGTGGATACTTCTAACTTGTGTACAAGCAAATTTTTGCCAATACACTTAATCTAATTTGCTAAACAAAACAATGTGTTTCTTCACTAAAGGAACTGGGGAGTATGTGTCAAGTCTAACTAAGAAGATTGTAGATATCTATTTTTGTCCACTTAAGATAAAGTAGGAAGGAGCACAGGAAACACATTCTTAATTGATTTCAATGAAGAGTATGAAAGGAGAATATCACTATCAAGCCAACATGAATATAACCAAACTTGGTCATAATTTAGTTTCTGTTGAAAATATTTGATAAAAAAGAACAGTAAACATCCATTTAATTAACAAATAAATATTAGAAGTCTGTCAAGAAAGGGATGCAAGATTCTTAATAAATAATTCTTCCTGCATCAAACAATTTTTGGACTAATTTTTAATTATGAAGTGAAAGCTAAGTACATTCTAGGTGTAAAAGGAAAAATAATCATGACAAACTGATGTTTATTTTAATTCCCGGGGCAATATATTTATCTTTAAAAAGCCTTCCTTCAGAAAGTTTATGTAGAATACCTGAAAATCATGGACTGTCTATACTACCTATTGCTCATAGATAACCAGCCTTGTTAAAAGTGTTCAGGGCCACAGCCTTCATCAAACCTAGTCAATCTGGCCAACAGAAAGATGTAAAATGTAGCTCAAAAGTTTTGGAGAGTGTTTAGGGGTGGGAGCATAATCATCACAGAATTAAAAAATGCCATTATCATTTTTGGAATAGTTATTGCCCCCAAGCCCCCTATTTAATTACTATAATCTAATTTAAAAATGGTTTTGTTCAGAACTAAAACAGCTCTTATGAATATATAAGGAATAAAGATTACCAAATGCTACTCAAATGTGATAGGGTCTTTCTATTTCAAAACTTGGCAAACATTTAGGTTAAATAGACTGAATTCACATTTTTCATAAAGGCACGCAATGTCCAGCAAAAGCTAGTAGATAGATAAAATATAGTAGAGGGAAGAGGAAGAAAAGAGAGTCTGCTATATTGTATAATATTTCACAGTAATTATTGCTGCACAATATTTTCAAAGTAGTATAAGCTATATTAAAACTAAAAGCAAATGTTATAAAGAATATGCTACATATACATATATACAAAATATGTGTTTTACACAGATATTAAATGAGTACTTTTTCTACCTGCTATAAAATTATGAAATTCAAGGTTTGAAAAAATTATTTCAATACCTCTGCCTTCAAACTTTATATATTAAAATAGCAATTGTTCTGTCAATTACAGCCATTTCAATAATTACTATTGTTAAAGCTATGAATGAGTAAAACTCCATAGCTATAGTTAAAAGATATGAATACAAAAATATAAAAAATGCATTAGTGCATATATAGTTGATTTTAATTTCCACTTTTTATTAAAAAGCTAATTTAAAAAGCAATTTGAATATTGGCATTTTTTTTCTATACGTAACAATATAAAAAGGCAAAATAACCTACTTTGAGGTAGTAATGCCAAGTTGTAAAATTTGAAGTTTTCTTTTTTTCATAATGCATCACCATATTTAAATGAAATCATCAGCTCTTGAACTGTTTCACAATAATACAATACTTTACATTTTTTCAAAAATATGCAAATGGTTATAATTAAAAAAAATCAAACTTTGAAAAACAATTCCATTTTACAGCCAAATATTATAAAACAAACTCAATGTTATAAAGGAAAGCTGCAGTTTGTACAATATTTCACATCTTGCACTACTTTTTATTACCACTAAATAAAGCTCTAATGTTTTTTATTACTAATATTTTCAAACCTGAGACATTCCATGAGAGCTTATGGGAAATTTTATATATCCCTTTACAACTGTACTGTGTACAATACTCAACTAAAAAATTCCACATATATGTTGTTCAGAACTTAAATGGGAGCCTGTTTTTATATGGCAGAAGAGTCATGTATTATAACTCTAAACTCTATCTTTCTGCCTCAAGGGAATCAGGTCTGAGTGAGAACAAATATAATTAGGAAGCACGAACATAGTAAAAGTCGCTTTCCACTGGATCTTAGTATGCTTTTAATTTTTTATACGATGTTTTTTGACCAAGGCTAAAAATACAAAACAAAATTATAGAGAAAGAAAATGTTGGTAATTAAGTCCCAAATTTGGTTTTCTTTCTTACAGGACAGAAAATGAACATTACTCATCAGATAACCAGTTCATAAAGCATACAAATTACTTAATACTTTTCATGCACTATACAACTAGTTTACTGTTTCTTAATAAAAAAAATATGTCACTTAAAATGACAAGTGGTTAAAAAGTTATAAGGCTTCATCAATTAGATGGCTGGTAAAAAAATGTGCAAATGCACTATCTAAATGTATCTTTTAGAACATCCAGTACAATTATTATATATTCCAAGTGCCAAGGCAGGAGGTATGATGTCTACACCAAAGGTTTCATTGCCAAAATTCTGTATCTTGTATCAGGATGTTGCTCAATAGATGTATGGAAATATGCGGTATGGTACACGTTGGCAGTATTTTTCCCATGCCAAACCATATTTTTTCTTACACTGATGTTCATCACGGGCTTCTCGGTGTATAAGCAAACCAGTAAAATATATGACATAGAAAAATGGTAAAATGTGGTTGAATCCTATAAAAAATATAGAGAAAATGTCATTACTTTTTCCTCAACCCATCAGTCATAATGTTATTATAAGTGCAAATATATATATATATATATATATATATATATATATATATATATATATGTAATGTGAAATATTTAAATATTTTAATTGTAATTTTAATTAAAAACTAGTTAATTAAATAATTAAGTATAAATTATTAATGTGGGTTTTATTATTTTTTTAAAAAAATATTGAAGCTTTGAATCATTACAAATGTATTCAAACATATATATTTTTTATATATTTAATAAAAATATAGCAAAGGAATACTGCCATGAAAGACAATCACATCATTGTCTATGTTATATCTCATTATTTTTTAATTATATTCTCCTTCTGTGAAAATTCTTTTACTTTCAAGCATTTTATCACATATAAATCTTTGGCAATGAGAAACATGTATTACAGTCAGTAAATATCACTCTACCAACAAAACAGGCATGCAAAAGAAACAGGAAAAGTGTAAGATAAAATTATTTTATTAACTTACCACAAGGTAGGGACCAAGCCAGAGCCATAATGATATCACCTAAATAATTAGGATGACGCACAAAGCCCCACCAGCCAGACACAAGGAGGTTTTTTCCCGTTGCAGTAGGAATAACATTGAAATCTGCATAATAGACATATATATATATATATGTATATGTATATAATAGAATGCAATAGAAAATATTCCTATGTATAAATATTATGTGGACTACTGGTATGAAACTAGTAGTCTAAACATTACTTACGAGCAAGTTTTGAATCCTTTGGATTTCTTCTAAATAAATTCTTTTGTGTGTTGGCAGCACGAAAAATGTAATACCCAACAACTTGAGGAAAAAAAGAGTACCGATTATAACATAGAAAAAATATTTTATTATTTGTTATCATTTCATAATAATGATAAGGGTAACATTTATATGGATGCACATATTTTTCAATTTTATTATCACTAAATTCAGTCTTTAGCAAACCAAGACTTATTACTAATACATTATCAATGTCCTATACCATATCCTAGCAGGTAACACATGCACATTTCTTAACTTATGCAAAAGATGGAATCCATATTGGGTTTCCATACAGCTGATCCCCCTTTGTTGTGTTTTCTTCCCTTCCCTTCTTCCTTTCCTTTTTCTTTTTCCTTCCCTCCCCTCCCCTCTCCATCTGTTCCCTTTCCTTGTTGAGATGTGTCTATGGAGATTCTCAGTCATCCAGTCATAGTTGTCCCAAAGATGCTTTTTCAAAGGCAACTGGACTTTCTTGTTTTTCTTTGAAGATATTTCGTTTCTCATCCACGAAACTTCTTCAACTCTGACTGGATGGTGGGAAATGGAAGAATTTATATTCCCCGCAGACAGCTGCTCATTTGCATTCTTTTAGAGTCGCTGAGGCCACTTGGAGGTTTATCTGTGATGTCAGGGTCACCCGAGTAGTGCAAATGGGTGTGGAGCCTTCTTGGAACTGTTGAAAGGATTGTGTTGTAGACTGGAGATAGATGATGTCATAACCCTCCCCCCTCTATTGACAGAGGGCTGTTCTATCTCCAATCTACCACACAGTACTTTCAACAGTTCCAAGACGTTTCTTGGATGAGAAGCGAAACGTCTTCAAATAAAAACAAGAAAGTCTAGTTGCCTCATGAAAAAGCACCTTTGGGACTTGTTGAGAAATATTTGGAGGATAATGGGAGCTGCAGAAAGTGACAATTTCTATTACAATTCTACACCATAAAAGATGAAGTGAATGAAAAAAGTATTAAAATATAAAAGTTAAAATCTGAATAATGGGATACTTGAATCTTTCTACATACTTTATTGTACTATGTCAATTATATTCCCATGTAGGATTGAGTATACTTCCAAGTTAATTATGACAAATGTTATACTACTAGTGATAATATTTTACCATCAATCTAAACAATCCTTAAAAATAGGAATATGGTAATCACAGAATTTAGAAAAAAAATTAAGGGTGGACTTTTATTATTGTTGGATTATAACTTTCATAATAATTGACAACTGAGATAGGTAGAATTTGGATATATCATCATCTGGAAGTTCACAATTCCCTCAATCTCATATTATCTCATCTCTTGTTGACCATTTGACTGTATAGTATTATTACAATTATTCCATTTCTTGCTCAGTACTGAATGGGGAGAAATCTTCAGCTGAAATCTTTTGTGCTGCGCTATGCAGTAATGCAAAATAATACATTCCTATCATAACTTACTATTTAGAGTCACAATTGCAGAAGCTGCAGGCCACGAAATCTCATTTGGATGATTCACTAAATAGAATGCTTGTAAACTGTAGAGAAAGGGAACCCACACTAAGTCTCCAAATGCTAGCATGAATCCAAACCCTTCATTTGTGATGTCCATTGTCGTTAAAATTGCTTCCTAAAATATTAACAAAAGAATATTCAATTAATTAGTAGTTAGATAAGAAACTTTCAAAATAGTTACATTATTACCATCTTTGCTTCTTTAAATGCAAGCCCCATTACACAACACCTTTTGCAAGGATACCTTTTATTGCTGATGAATTCTGAGTTCACACTTCTCTAAATACATTACTTTCATTTAAATTATACTCTACAAAATAACTGTCTCTTCTACAATTTATGTATCTAAGGCAAAATAACATTTTGATCAAGTAACTTTTAAAAGATAAAATATTATAGCCTTTTCTTGTAGAATCAACTTATTCTAATAGTGTAGCCAGAGAACTTAGTATAGAAATTTGAGACAAAATTGAGCTAAGTAGCAATGAAACAGATATTTCAGCAAGTTTTGATTATTTTTGAGATGGGTGGAAAGTAACATTTTTAAACCTCCTCAACAAAATCAGCAATTGGACAGCTTTCCAATGATGAAGGCAAGTCTCCAAAAGGGTAGAGGAGAAAATATCCCTTTTCAAATGGTTCTGGGTTATGAAGGAGATAAAAGGAAGAATGGTAAACATTCATCTCTTAGAAGCCGTAAACTCTTACTCCCATCATTGTTTTCACAAATGTGATTTCAAAATGATGCTATTGAAATTCAGCCATTCTGCCTGGTTTCAGCATTAGTGTGCATATGTCAGTGTGGGAATGGAAATGGATTAATTCAGGGGTCCCCAACCTATGGGACCTAATGGCCACTGGGCCTCAGGACAGGCTGGCCAATGCACTCATGTGTGTGCATGCACTCACTTCCACTCACACTAGTGCCCACGGCCCTGTTTGCTCCTGCACACCTACACAGTCGCTAGTGCCGTGCGGGTTTGTGCATGTTTATGCATGTGTGTGGGCCTAGTGGCAGTGGCTAACACCTGCATGCCTACACAAACAGGGCTGCTAGCACTGTGCAGGTGCACACAGCCCTGTTTCCGTGTGCGTGCCCACGCACTTGTACAAATTTCCCAGCTGCTCCCTTTCCCTCTGGGCTGCCAGAATGAAAAGGTTGGTGACCTCTGGATTAACTCATAGAGGCTTGTGCTCTCATTCACACCCATTTAAAAACAAAAACAATTCCAAACTGAAAATAAAACTTTCCCTCCCTAAAACAAAAACCCTGCCATTATTATTCACTTGCCTATGAATTTCAGCAATGCAATCTCAAAACACAACAACAATAATAGAGTTGGAAGGGACCTTGGAGGTCATCTAGTACAGGGCTTGTCAACCTTTTCACAGTACTACTTTTAGGATATGGCAATATTTGAATACCAACAGTCGCCTAAGCAAGGTGTCAAAAACTTGACCAATAAAAGGGAAAAAGTGATAAAGTACAGGTAGTCCTCAACTTATAACAGTTCGCTTAGTGACTGTATGAAGTTACTACAGCATTGAAAAAAGTGACTTGTGACTATTTTTCACACTTATGACCATTGCAGAATCCCCAGGGTCAATCTACATTTGGATGCTTGGCAACTGATTCATATTTATAATGGTCACAGTGTCCCAGGATCATGTGCTCCCCTTTGGCAACCTTCTGACAAACAAAGTCAATGGAGAAACCAGATTCACTCCTCCTTTTATACCCTCTTCTCTCCTTCCTCTTTTATATCCTCTCTTTTCTCCCCTCTCCTTCTTTTATATCCTCTTCTCTCTTCTTTTATATTCTCTCTCCTTTTATATCCTTTCTCTCCCCTTTTATATCCTCTGCTCTTCCCCCTTTTTCATATCCTCTCCCCTCCTTTTTATATCCTCTTCTCTCCCTTCTTTTATAACCTTTCTCTCCCCTCCTTCTTTTATATCCTCTTCTCTCCCTTCTTTTATAACCTTTCTCTCCCCTCCTTCTTTTATATCCTCTTTTCTCTTCCCTTTTATATCCTCTCTTCTCTCCCTTTTCTCTTCTGTGCACCTCCAGCTGATTCCTCTCAAGGCTGCATTTCTCTGCTTCTCCATCTCTCTTTCCTCTCCCTCTCCTGCCAAAACCTTCTCCTTTTATAGCCTCTTCTCTCCCCCTCCTTTTCTCTTCCATGCATGCCAGAAGCACCGATCTTGGGGCTTCTGTCTCGACCCTGCAGCCCTGCAAAAGTGCACACTGATCCTGGGCTCCTGCCCAGCCCCCATAGCCCTGCAGAAGGGCCAATCAGCTGTAGCTGCACGTGCCAAT